TTCAGACCATAAAAGTCACCCTTTGAAAATGTACCATCCCCAGATTAGTATTACATGCACAAAGCTGTGTAACCCACCCCATTATCTAATGCCCAAGCATCTGCAGCATCCACCTCAGGAAGCCCCATTCCTGTCAGCAGCTGTTTCTCTGTTTTGTTTTCCCCTCCTCTTGAAAAACCACTGAGTGGCTTCTGTCTCTATGGATTCACCCATGGTGGTCATTCAGCACTTGGTGTTTGCATTTGACCTCCTTCACTTCACTCAGTGTCTTCAGGACCCATCCATGTTGTGGCACATGTCACTACCTCATTTCTTCTATGGCTGAAGTCCTGGTGATGGATGTCCCGTGCAGCACTCACTCACCCACCCTTGACTATTGGAATAGTGCTTGCATCAGCCCTGTGCACAGTGTTTCAATGCCTGTTTCATCCCTTGGGAAATGTGCTCAAAGGCAATCCTGTTCAGCTTGGTGGAGGACTTCCAAACTGTTTGCCATGGCAGTGGCACCATTGCACATCCCCACCAGCTCTGCATGAGGGTTTCTCCACACTCACAAGCCTTGCTCCCTGTCTTCTGATAGCCATCCTAGAGGAGATAAAGTTATATTTCAAATTTCTAACCTATAGTCACCCTCTTCTGTTTGGGGGGCAGTTAGGCAGTGCTTGGAGTCTAACCCAGGGCCTCTCACATACTCTGGAAGCCCCCTGCTACCAAGTTATACCCTCAGCCCCCAAATCCTTCTTTTAAAAATGGTCTTATCCTGGGTTTGGTTCCCAGCACCCACATGTGGTCCACAGCCATTTGTGACTGCATTCTAGGGGAGCCAATGCTCTCTTCTGGCACCCATGGGCACCAGGTACATATATGATACACTTATACATGTAAAAGCTCATATTCATAATAAGAATAAATTATAAGAATAAATTTCTTTCAATTAAAATAAATAAAGAATTCTAAGACAGACAACAGACAAACCAAAATGGTCTTCCTGGCCTGGGGAAATAGCTGGCAGTAAAGTACCTGTCATGCAAGCGTGAGAACCTGAGTTTCGATCCCCCTGGGAGGCTGAAATGGAAGACGCTTGGGTTTTCTGACCAGCCAGTCTAGATGAACTGGTGAGCTCCAGGTTTGGTGAGAAAGCCTGTCTCAAAAAATAAGGTTGAGTCATTGAAGAACATTAACCACCTTTGGCCTCCGTGTACACACAGAAGCACGCATACACACACACACACACACACACACACACACACACACACACAGTCTTCAGACTTTCTTGTTGGTCAGTTTTTGACCCTGTGACAAAACATCTCAGCCAAATGAGAGGTGGGGACGGGATTCATCTTGTGGCACTTAAGCAGTGTTGGCCTGTCAGGTGAGGGAGGGTGTGAAACATCTGTTCATCTCATGCAGCCAGAGAGGGGAAGGGAGGGAAAGACAAACTGACAGGCAGGATGAGGGGATACAGATTCTGTTCCCTTTTATTCTGCCCCGGGGCCCAGCCTGTGGGATGGGCTGCTTTCCTCATCCCCAGGCGCTGTCAGTCAAGATTAATCAGTCTGCCTTCTACAGGTAGAACAGACACGAGGACCCCATTGGCTGAAATGGAGAAGGAAGCCTGAGTGCACTGTGTTCAGCAGTCCAGAGATAAGCTCCCTTAGGTGGTGTATAGACCAGGGCTTGGGACCCGCACTGAGGCATCTGAGACTTGTCACTGGAGGCTTCCTGTGGCATGCCTCAGCCCTGAAGCCTTTCCTGGTTGCCTTGGGAACCCCTGCAGCATTCAGTCAAGTTGTGGAACAGCCCAGCCACTGTACTGGGGTTGCCACAGTGAGAACATAGAATTCACTGGCTCTGTTGAGTGGTTTCAGTCCAGGGAGGGGCTTGTGCCAGAGACAGGAAGTGAGCTGGAGAAATGTCTCCCCCTTCCAAGTGCAGGAAGGCTGGGCTTGATGCTGATGGGGGAGGATGAGGCCATCCTGAAGCATGCAGAGTTTTGCCCATCACCCTGGCCGAGTTGCCCTGGTGGAGGGTGGCTGCTGGAGGATGTCCAGGCCATTTCCATTCCCATCTCTGCATTAGCATTCAAGGAGCATAAGTTGTTGTGTTTGCCTAGGAAGAATGTTCCAGGTTCTGCTGCTGCCTTGGCAGAGATGGGATCCCTCCTGACTCTGGTTGCCATGCTCTGCTTTGCACAGCTGTCAGGGGCTGAGTCACCAGCTCGGCCTGTTCTGTTCTCTGGGATTTCAGGGTTGCTTTTTTCTTTTGTTGATGGCTAATGCCTTGAAAAAAGACCTTCAAAGGTATATTCTGGGATGTTGACCTGAGCACCTGGCTGCTCACCTAGTGAGTAAGATACCAGTATCTCGCAAGAGATGTACTTTCTAATCTTAAAGCTGGGGAAACTGCTACCCAGGAGTCTAGTCACTGAAGAACAAAGCATCATTTGCAAATCCCTTGTTTCATAAACATCCACAGAATCAGAATGTGGGACCCAGAGTTCTCAGAGACCATCTAATCTAGCTCCATGATCTGACACAGATTTTTAAACCAATGTATTATGAACAATTATATGTTTATTGTATTTGTTCCTATATACCAGGGAGCTTCAGCTAAGGGGTTAAGACAAGAAGGGATGAGGGCTGGTCCCTGTAGGAAGGCTGCAGAGCATACAGTCCTGGGGAAGGATGCTGTAGGCCAGCAGAGAGCTCAAGCAGAGATACATACAAGGAGAGCTATCGTTGCACACATACAAACATGTGCACACCCGTGTGCAAAGGGGGAGGGAGAAGAAGAGGAGGAGGAAACCATTGTAAGTGGAAAGGACTTGGTCACCCGAATTAAAGGTTTTCCCTTTATTTCCACATAACCATGAGCTTTCGGATTGATTTCAAACAGGGCCCAGGTCATTTCTCTATTATTCCCGATGCTGCTGAGACCCCTGCCTTCCTAAATTCACCCCTGGAAGATTTTAGCAGCCTCCAACCTGGTCTTCTTCCCTCCGGTCCTGTCCTTCCCCAACACATTCTACAAGGGCTCCCCACCCAGGGCTCTCTCATCTGCAATCTGATGTGCCCCTCTCCTTTGTGGAACAGTTCCATGCCTCCCTGTGGCCCACTGGACAAGACCCTGGCTTACCAGGCTGTGTGTGTGGCCTGGCCCCAGCTCCTTTCACAGCCTCACTCCCATTGTTCCTCACCAGGCACCCCGGCTTCCGAGCAACCACGTTGTTGAGTTATTTACTGCCTTTGCCCATGCTGCCCCAGCCTTCGCGCTGGCGAAGAGACCATCATCCTTCCCACTCATCCTTCCAGACCCAACACAAGTTTCTGGTTGGAAGAGGCTTTTCTTGACCTTCCTGAGGCCCCCAAAATATCTTGGATGTGTTTCTTTTTTGAAGGTCATATCACACTTCAAGCGTCTACTTCCAGACCACTGTCTGCTCCTGTTTGTTGAGTGTCTCTTGTGTGCCAGAGCACCCATCCATGCCATTTGCGTGTACTGCTGCATGTTAGCCTCCCAGAGCAGCTCACGGCAGATGCCAGGCTGAAGCTCCGCAGTAGCCAGACTTGCTGAGGCATGCAGTCCGAGTACAAGAACCAGAATTCAATCCCTGATCTGTGTGACCCTATTTCTGCATCCTTACGGTTCTTCTTCCCCATTTTAGAGCCTTAGGCAGCACTGGGTGTGGGGATGACTAAACAGATAGGCAGATGTTTGTGTGGTTATTATGGAGTGTGCACAATGGGGAAACAGGGGAACACTGGTGTGAGAGGGCGGGGTTCCTTGGGGTTGAAGGGATGAGAGTTTGTTGGCCTTGCTTCCATGGCTTAGAGTTTCCTTTCACCTTCCATTCCAAGTGGCTGCCTCTGGCTGCCCAGGGACAGGCCTGTGGGACTCAAGGCTGAACAGGCGGCATGGTGATAAAAGCCATGGCAACATGCCTCCTCTCTAGGGGTATGATGAGAGGGAGGAGCCAAGAAGGCACAGGGCACACACTGGGGCCTCTGAGCAGGATCCTGAAGAGGAGGAGCCCTGTGGGTCCGGGTGGCTTCTGCCTTCCCAAGAGGGCCCCACCTATGAGGTCCCATCCCAGCAGGGGAAATGCCACTTCCACTTCAGCCCCGAATTAATGGCTGGTTCTGGTCTCCCAGGAGACTGTCAGCTGTGTCCGGGTACAAATGCCACCCCATTCCCACCCGCAGCCAGGAGGAAGGAAAAGAGAACGCAAGAGGGGGGAGAAGGGGGTCGCCAAGCAAGGTAGTAGCAGACAGCTGGGACAAAGCTTGCATTGTAACAGGGCCACGTGTGTTCCCATCGCCTTTCTCACCTGCCTCTCCAGACCTAGGCCTTGAGCTCCACCTGATCCACCAGCTCTTCAGCCACACTTACCCACGCTGGCTGGGGCATAAGCCTTCTGGGAGGTGAAGCCTTCGGAAGGTGCTGCCTCCTCCCTGCAGCCAGCCTACAGCCAGGAGGCAAGCAGTGATGAGAACATGGCCAGTGAAGCCAGGGTGACATGGACTAGCAAGGGTCCAAATGAAAGAAAGCTGCTAGCAGGCCTCAGAGGAATTCCTCTGTGTCAGGTAGTCCTTGAAGCTTTGTGCACTCATGAGCAAAGGCTATCACCCCCTACCTACTCTAGCTGCTCCCACAAGATCCTCCTGTGCCTGGCAGGCAGGGACCCCTGAGTACCTCTCTGGACAGGTATGCAATCCACTGATGCCTCACCCTGTACTTGCCCATGGCCTCTACTGCAGCTCTGGCCCTGAAGTTGTTTCCAGAGGCTCTGCTTGGGTGACTCAGACTGGTGGATGGGAAGTGGTGCCAAGCTAGGTGGGCAGCTCAGGTGACGGGCACGGTGTCAGCGGCTCCTACATCTGACACCTCTGAGCAGACAATGCTGGCTGTGTCCAGGCCCTCTAGGGGAACAGGCTGTGTTCTGTATCACAGCCAGGAAACTGGCCATCTGAGTAGTGCCTTTGTCCACTCAGGAGATGGCCCCACTACTGTGCAGGAGAAGCAAGCTCCTGGGGACCCTGACGTGGGAAGGAGGTAGTCCCTGGGTCAGGAACTCTGGGGGTTGAGATCTCAGTATCTGATGCTGGTCTGGTTCAAATGCTGGTCCTGCCACACAAATGGGGGTGTGACGTGGGCAAGTCCTTTTACTCGTGGTGGCCCTGGTTCCTTATCTGTAAGAGGGGACTAATCTCAGCACTTCCTCATAGGGTTTTTGGGAGAAGTCAATGGCGTAATGTACGTAACGTGCAGCACGGGCTGGTATGCAGCGGGCTTGGCTTGGCGGCTGCTTCTTTCCCCAGCATGGGCAGAAATCCAGGGCATGGCATTCTCAGCTCAGCTTTCCCAGCCTATTGTCTACAGTCCCTTCTCTGAATGTGGAGTCGGGGCTCTAACCTCTGGGGCTGGCTCAAAACTAGTCACTGGCTGCAGGAAGCCTAGGTTTCTCCCCCTTGACCCAAGGGAGCTCTGGGCTGATGTCTATCTAGTGTAGCCCTGATCCCAGACAGCTATACCCTCTGCATGGGGCCTCTCCCTCCCTCCCCCACATCCCTGAAGACATCTCTGCAGAGCTGTCCTTGACACTGAAATCCCTACTCAAGAGAACATCCTAAGGACCCATCCTAAAGAGTCAGTGGGGCTGAGTCCACCCATCCTCTTCTCAAGTCTCCTGGGCATGTGGATGCCGCTTGCTAGACGAACGCCCCGTGGAACACTCAGCAACTAGGGAGGGCTTCTGCTCTCTTGACCTTGGCCTCATGTGCATCAAACCTGTGCTCAGTTTCCTGTGATGTGCTAAAATAAACATGCATGTTGATATGACAGAGACTAGCCTGCATGTACGCAGCATGGGAGTCAGAAGGCCTGGCTGCTTGTCCTGCCTTGTGGGCAGGCGCCTGAGCATGTACATGGACGTGTGTGACACATCTTAGAATGACCTATTTTGTCTGTATCCATTTATCTTTCTACTCGTGTGCTGGTATGTCCATCTGTCTTGTCTCCTTTGTAGCCAGGAAGCCCCGAACCACGTGCCAACTGGGAAGGCGATGGTCAGCGAGACCAGCCCGGCCTAATCTGGGGCTCCTACTCCTGCACCAGGAGTCCTCCGACCTGCAGCCCCTGCCACGGAGGGAGGACTGGATGTGGGAGGCGGGATCTGAGGGGCAGGGACCTGGGTACACTGGTGGACAGGAGGCTCTTGTCCTGCTGTCCCCGTGACTGTGGTGGAATCTTCACCCTTCTGGGTGCCTTCACTGACCTGGAAGATCTGGGGTTGGACTGATGACTCCTAGCCACCCTTGAGGATCTGAGAGCTAACTGAGACTTTAAACCAGGGGTAGCAGTCTGTGCCAAGCCCCACTGAATTCACTGGCAGAGGCAGCCACCTGCAGCCTAGCCTACAGGTCCTCGCTTGATTCTGGGGTGTCGGGCCAAAGGGCAAGAGAAGAAGCCATGCCAGGCAGTGGCCCCAGTGAGAGGATGACATGGCCTGGCCCTGCCCTCCCTACGCCCCCCACAACCCGCCCTCTCTCCTCAGCCCCGGGAACACCGCCCATCCCACCGCTAACCAGGACTCGCAGCCTCATGGCCATGTCCCTGCCGGGAAGTAGACGAGCCTCTGCTGGTTCTCGAAGGTGAGTCTCCCTTGTCTAGAGCCTGTGCTTCAGAGGCAGGAGGGCTTGCAGTGTGCCTTTAAGCAAATTGTGCCCTCGGTTTCCCCATCCTTAAAATAGGCTGGCTGATCCATGCCACCTCCAGGAACTATTTAAGGACCTAAGTGACACGGTGGATATAACAGTTATCTGAAGGCTCCCATCAGCACCAGCTCTGCCATCACTATCCCTGCAGTAGTCTCCCTTTGACTGTCACTCTGTGGGTCCCTCCTCCAGTCACCTCCTGTCTGCCCCATTCTACTCCCCTCTGTTTCAGTTCATGCATGGATAGCCTTCCCTGGGCTGAGAGACCCTGGGGCCCACCATTTGTCCACAGCCCTGTCTAGCCTCTGTTCTTGACCCTGGGGAGCTAGGAGGGTCAGCCACCTTCCGGTTTCTATCTTGATTTCCACTGTCTGTTCTGTCGCCCTTGTCTGTGTGTGTCCCCCTCCCCATTGCCTTTCTTCCCGTGATGAACCTGAAGTGGGGGCACTTTAGGCCGTAGCGGCCTGGCTGTGTTCGCCCAGTGCCCGCAGCTGCCCGCCAGCCAGAATGAGCAGCTGCCTCTTCTCCCCGCCTCCAGGCGCACTTCTCCACCTGTGAGTGTGCGGGACGCCTACGGCACCTCTTCCCTCAGCAGCAGCAGCAACTCTGGCTCCTGCAAGGGCAGTGACAGCAGCCCCACACCGAGGTAACCGGCTCCTCCTCCCAGCCAAGCCTGGCTGCCTGGGAACCTGGTGCCCAGGAGATGGGGGGACAGCACCATGTTCTGCCCATCCCAGCTCCAGCATTCTTTCTGACTGGGGCCTAGAACAGGTCATGTCTCTCCCCTAGCTTTGGTTCCTGTCTGTAATTTGTACATGAGCTCGTGTGATGAGATGCCAGGGCCAGAGACAGGCAACACCTGAAGCATCACAGGTCTTACCTATTCCTGGTCACCATCCATGTGAACACCTTTTGTCCTAATTATCCCAAGATGGCTCCTGTGCTACCAGCCATCCGGTCAGCAAGGAAGAAGATAGCCACCCCTCCCCGCCCCCCCCCCGCCCCCCCGTTGGTTGCTCTGAGAAGGGACACTTTCTATGTGGAATTCTGCCTGGACTTCATTGGTTAGAACTGGGTCATATGACTTACTAGCAACCTATCCAGTTAATTCATAGAGGATTAGTGTTTTCCTCCCAATGATGCCACCCCAAACAAAGAGGAAAAAGCAAGGTGGACATGGGGCATTTTGAGTGACGCGGGTGGTGATGCGCTACGGATGTGGCATATGCTAAGTCATGGTCCAGGCACAGGAGACGGAGGCATGAAATACAGGGTCACACTGGAGGGCAGGTAAAGAAGGGCTGAGGGTCCTTGAAGACCAGGATATTAGAATCAGGGTGCTGATGTGGCATCCTATTTCCTGGGTGCTGGGATACAAGTGGGCCCTGGAGGGTTTCGGGCAGCTGCAGATTTCCTGTCTCTGAGGCTTAATCTTTTCTTTTCCATAAAATGGAGATAACCCAGAGATGTCAGTGAATTGCTCTGCCCACCGCCTGTGTGTCCTGGGCCACAGTAAGGTTTGAGGGCACAGTCGAGCTCCTCCCTGCAAGCCATGTCTCGCTCCTCTCAGCGGAGATATCTTCTGTTATTCAGTGATGTCCAGAGCTATTAAAGGCATAGATCTCGGGTTTTTCCACCAAGGGGTGGATGGTTGGTAACAGTCGCATGCAGGACCCTTCTGGCTTCTAACCGATTTAGGTCTTGAAAGGCATAGAATTGGAAGCACCCAGACTTTGCTATTAGTAACAGTTGTATAACACATCTCCCATCCAAAGCCTCTGGGGCAGTCCCAAACTTCAAACTGAACTGAACACCCGTGAAGAACTCCTATTGCCCAAAAGGAGGCCTGCCACGCCTGGAGCGGGGCAGGACAATACTACCTAAGGGCTTCACTGCAGCCAGGCTGACTCTGCTAACATGGATCATCATATGTTTCTCTTTTTAATATGTCACACACACTGGAGGGGTGTGCTACTCGTGACTATAAACATGTATCAAATGTTATCTTGAGATAATGTCTATGAAAGCAGATGAGAACATTCAAAGCCCCCCATTTCCCTTAACATTGCCTTTTCCACCCCGTGCCTCAATGCCAGGCTGAGCGCTCTTCACTTATCACAGGGGTGTGTCCTCCTGCCAAACCCCTTGCAGAGCAGGACAGATACAGGTCTGAATGGGAGATGCCGTATGGCTTCTTCTCCTCTGAGGAGATCGTAGAGGAGAGTATGAAAGCCCAGGCACCCACTATGCCACCGCTTGCCCCTAGCAAGGTGGAAGAGAAGCTGTGTGATCTGGCTTCCCATCCACCTTCTCCCTAACACTTTACAGTTTACAGTAAACATTACACAGCTTCCATGAAACTTTAAATCTGCCCTGAACCTGGCTACTTCCACAATGGGCTTCCACAGGACCTATCTTTTCCAGCTCTGGGAAGTGTCTATGCTGAGGCTAGTGTCCCTAGCCTCTGGAGCAGCAGAGTGATAGAGCTGCAGGCCCCAGTCTCCATTGTGTGGGAACACCCCCCAGGGTTTGAAACCAAGACCCAAGCAAGGGTTTTAAGAACAGATCCTGCAGCCAAGAAGCTGTGGGTGGAACCATCTGAACCATAGTCTGTTGTAGAATCAGGGTGTTCTCCTTCCTAGGAAAGCCTTGGCCAGCCCTCCACCCTGGCCTCCATGGCCCTCTAGGTGGAGGCTCCTCCCCAGTGGTATGGTATAACATACTGGATCAGTTGCAGAAGGCATCCAGCCAGCTGCTACCCAGGGCCTGCTGCTAACTGACACACCTAGCAAGTGTCCACATGTGTGCTCACACATGTCCCAGAGTGTGGGTGCATTAGCGTGGTTTCCTGGACCAGACAATTGCCTATGAAGGCAACATGAAAATGGTGTATGTGCACCCATGGGGACATGCAGGTGCACATGGCTCAAGACACCATGAATTTACTGGGGGGGGGGGGAGTGGCCAGGCCTCCCAGTGTGCACATGCAATGGAAACCTGTGTGTTGCCGAAGGTGGGTGGAGAGAGTACATCAGGGTACCTGCTGCAGAGACAGCCATGACCTCACACCTGTGTCTGTGCTCCCCATTCCTATCCCTGGGCTAGATAGGCTTTCAGCTGCAGGGAGGAGAGTGTCTCCCTCCCAGGAAGATGCCACCTTCTCTGCAGGTGAGTCCTTATCCTCCAGGCCCTTGCTCCCCACTCTCACATTCTCTGTTGAAGACAGGCAGCCTGGGCTGAGGAAGCACACAGACCGCATGGAGGCTGGTTGAGCCACCCTCTCTGAAGTGTGTGTGTGTGTGTTTGTAGGACAAAGGTGTCCCTTCACCCACTGCTGCTGTGAGGAGCCACACAGGGTGTCACAAGGCGCTGAGCACACACAAGCCTCATGAGAGATCCCCTCTTCCCTAAGCAGAGGTGTCTCCAGCCCCCTAACCAACTCTTCCCTCAGAAGAGCTTCATTAAAACTCACCTCACAGAAGGCTGGCTGTGTTTGTGCCATGTCCCCAGCCCCCAGGAGGGCTGATGGCACAGGCTGAGCTTGAAGATAGTTAGGCGCTCCCTGGCCCAGCTGGGTACTCGCCCTGCCCTCTTCATCCCCCACCTCTGACGGACACACCCTTGCAGGCGCTCCATGAAGTATACACTCTGCAGTGACAACCATGGCATCAAACCCCCCACCCCAGAGCAGTACCTGACTCCACTGCAGCAGAAGGAAGTTTGCATCCGGCACCTGAAGGCCCGGCTCAAGGACACACAGGACCGGCTCCAGGACCGGTAAGTGGCAGCCAAGGGAATACCAACCAGCTCTAATCTCAGCAGAGCCAGGGTATCCCCTGGGAAGAAGCAGGAATGGGCCTTGCAAGCTGCCCTCTACTAACTCTCCTCTCAGCAAAGCCTCATGTGGGCCCATCTGTAGAGGCTCCAGCCCCCAACACCCCTTGACCACTTTAGGCAGGTGCTTGGGGCCAGTGGGAAAGAGTCCCTTTAAGGACAGTCAGTCACTTTCCTGCTGCCATTCTCTCCTGACCATAGCCCTGCACCTCCTTTTGATGGCGGCTTCTCCCCCTGAATCCTGTCTTCCCAGGGAGCTGAACCAGTGTCTCTCTGGCTTCTGTGTCCCTAGCGAGTGAGAAACAGGCCTTTAACCCTCCCCTGCATCTACACAATGAGACACAGGGATCTCAGCCCATCAGACCAGGCCCAGAAGCCTTCCTCCTTGTCTGCTTCCTTCCTGTAGATGATACAAGGTCAGGAGAGGCTGTGGCTGAGGCCCTGCTCAGCCTGGGGGGTCTCCCAGGAGCTGTGTCCATCTGTGCACACGCTCAAGTCCTTGTGGACACTTGTGCTGCCCCTCCTGGAGGTTTCATCTTCAAAAGTCACACTTCACACTATAGCACAGGTGTGTGCCACCCCAGCACTTAGGCTGAGGAAGGATTGTAAGTTTGAGGACAGCCTGGAATGCATAGTGAGGCCCTGTCACAACAAACAAGGAAAACTATGTTAGGGTGGGCTTGCCCACCTTGGATCACCTTCACCAGCCTCCTCTGAACTGTGTCTGTTCTGAGCTGGACCAAGCTGTGGGAGACACTAGAGCTCAGGGCAGGCATCCCCACTGTGCCTTCTCTTTGCTTCCACAGCAGCTTTTGTATCCACCCAAAGTTATTCTACATGCCACAGAATCGGCTTGTCTAAAGCAACCGCTGGTCAGTATGTAGAATCGGCCTGTCTAAAGCAACAACCGCTGGATGGTGTGTAGAACTGGCCCATCTAAAGCAACCACTGGTCAGTATGTAGAACTGGCCTATCTAAAGCAACCGCTGGTCAGTATGTAGAACTGGCCTATCATCTAAAGCAACCGCTGGATGGTGTATAGAACTGGCCTATCTAAAGCAACCGCTGGATGGTGTGGAGAACTGGCCTATCATCTAAAGTAACCACTGGATGGTGTGTAGTGTGTCACAGAATTGTCACAATTACCACAATCTGATACTCTTGTTTTTACATCCCAACCAAAGTTTCCCCTCCCTACTCCCAGTCCCTCCCGCCACTTCCCCTCTTCCCTCCACCAATCCACTCCTACTCCTCCTTTCTCTTCAGAAAAGGACAGGCCTCCCATGGTATATCAAGTTACAGTGAGTCTAAGATCTCTGCTTCTATTAAGGCTGGATGAGGCAATCCAGTAGGAGGAAAGGGTCCCAAAAGCAGGCAACAGAATCAGAGACAGCTCCTGCTCCCACTGTGAGGGGTCCCACAAGAAGACCAAATTATACAGTTTGTAACATATGCAGAGGGCCAATGCCAGTCCCGTGCAGGCTCCCTGGTTGTTGGTTCCATCTCTGTGCCTCTATGAGCCCAGGTTAGTAGATTCTGTGGGTTTTCTTGTGCCCCACTGGCTCCTACAATCCTTCCTCCTCTTCCTCAGGATTCTCCAAGCTCTGCCTAATATTTAGTTATGGGTCTCTGCATCTGTTCCCATCAGTTGCTGGGTGAAGCTTCTCTGATGACAATTGAGCACCAGTCTATGAGTATGGCAGAATATCATTAGGAATCATTTCATTGACTATTTTTTTAACAAACAAGATTGGTTCTATCCTAGGCTCTGGGGTATTCTGCCTCTGGGGCCTGGCCCTCGGGGGTGAGCTCCCTCTCATGGTATGGGTCTCAAGCTGGGCCAGTCATTGATTGGTCACTCCTACACTTTCTATGCTCTGATACCTTTTTTTACTACTCTGTTCCCATTAGCAGTCACTCCCCATAGTCTCCAATCATCCTGGCATCCATCGGTCTTTCTGTCTTTATCAATCTCTGGACATGTAATAGTAGAGCATGCGTGACCAGCCTCTACCAGGCCTGCCTGGGTGTGTTGTGGTTTCAGAGGTCAGGGCGGTCAGTGGGCTCAACTATCCTTGAACTAAGCTTTCCTTTTTTGGTTCCTGTCCTCTTCCTAGGGATGCTCAGGGTCTGACTGTCCTTTGGCACTGATGTCCACAAGGAGCCAGCAGCCCATCTCCAGCTGCTTCTCTGGGCCAGCCAGCAGTGGCATGTAGGCCATCTTCTTGTGTTTGGCAAAATGCCCCCTCGTCCCCAACCACTCTGTTACCCTTGAAAGGCCCTGCAGCAGGCCTGTCCTTGGCATAGTGCCTTTCCCCTCATGCCCTCTGGGTATTATTTAATATCCATACTTCCTGTGCTAGCCTGCCTTCTAGTTCTCAGCAAGCATGTGCTTCGACAAACCCCTCTGTGCTTGTGGACGCTGCCCCCACACTCCCAGGGCAAGCACCAGTGGGAAGTGGAGATGCCCAACCCTGAGGAAGAGTCGAGAGATCAAGGACCCCATGCCTGTCACCTACCCATGCCACTCAGGTAGCTCAAGTTCACTGTCCTCCCCGAGCCCACTGCAGAATATTACTGTGTTGAGTGGTCAGACCCTCCTAGAGGACATTGCTTGGCCTCTGGAGCCTATTCCACGGTGGCATTTCCAATCTAACTTTGGAAAATCTGTGGTTCCCTATGTGGTACAGTCACTCTGCTAGGCTCAGAAACTATCTGGTGACAGCCATGCCATTGGTAGTTTATTCCAATAAGCCAGGCTTCCAGCTGAGATGTTGACGTGGATCTCATCGCTAAGAAGGTCCTGAAGAATGCCTGAACAGGATGCTAAGCCTCCCTGAGTGTCCTCCTTTCCCACTGCTTAACACTGACTAGTGTCCACTGGGTCTCACCTGATTTTCCCTTTAGTCACTGTGGCACGGTTCACTAACCACCTCCCTCTTCAGCACTCAGGTCCATCTGTAACTCGGGGACTTGAAAGGCCGTAGCATCTCTGGGTGGAAGTCTTGAGGCTGTTCCACTTGCTGGCACAGCCCTTCCCTTGGTAACTGCATTTTTCATCCATCTCTTTGGCCTCTCCTCTTGACGGTCAATACAAAGAGACTTCTAGCATGGTACAAGAGAGCCACCCAGTCCTCCTCACCCTCCTCCAACCTATTTCACTTCTGGGCTTTCTGCAAGAGGAACGCTGTAAAATCATCAGCTCCCCCACCAACACCAAAGGCTGTCATTTCTCTCATGTCACCATCCTGTCCCTGGGGGGTCTGGGGACAAATGTCTCTCCACCTAGAACACAGGCTGCTTCAGAAGGAAACCATATCCCTCTCTCATGTTTGCTGCTTTGCATTAAGAGTTTATTACATTTTCATAGCAGTGGGCTCATCAATTAAGGGTCTGTGTAGTCGCTTCTGGAGGGGATGGTATGAAGAAGGGCTTGACTTAGTGGTGAGATGGGGATGTGGCTCCTACTGCCATTTCTTCTCCCTCTCAAGGGAGCCTCTCCTGTCTTGGCCCCTGGCTCCACCCACCCTTTCTCCTCCCTGTGGGATGAAAGGAAGAAGAGGCTTTAAATCCTACTTTTGTCTCTAGCCTTGAGCCACCCCACTCTGAGACCATCTGTGTTTGGTGGCAGCCCCTTGTTTTCCACAACAGCAGTGATAGGTCAGGGGGACAGCTATAGAGCAAGCGTGTTTCTTTTGCTCACAGGGACACAGAGATTGATGACCTGAAGACTCAGCTGTCCCGCATGCAGGAGGACTGGATTGAAGAGGAGTGCCACCGTGTGGAAGCCCAGCTGGCTCTGAAAGAGGCCCGCAAGGAGATCAGGCAGCTCAAGCAGGTCATCGACACTGTCAAGAACAACCTGATTGACAAGGACAAGGGGCTGCAGAAGTACTTTGTGGACATCAATATCCAGAACAAGAAGCTAGAGACACTGCTGCACAGCATGGAGGTAGCCCAGAACGGAATAGCCAAGGAGGAAGGAACTGGGGAGTCGGCTGGTGGGTCCCCTGCACGCTCCCTCACCCGAAGCTCCACCTACACCAAGCTGAGTGACCCAGCTGTCTGTGGTGACCGCCAACCAGGGGATCCCTCCAGCACCTCTGCTGAGGATGGAGCTGACAGTGGATTTGTGGCTGCTGACGACACACTGAGTCGGACGGACGCCCTGGAAGCCAGTAGCCTGCTGTCATCAGGAGTGGACTGTGGCCTTGAGGAAGCCTCATTGCACAGCTCCTTCAATCTGGGCCCCCGATTCCCTGCCAGCAACACCTATGAGAAGCTGCTGTGTGGCATGGAGGCTGGTGTGCAAGCCAGCTGCATGCAGGAGCGAGCCATCCAGACAGACTTCGTGCAGTACCAGCCTGACCTGGACACCATCCTGGAGAAAGTAGGCCAGGCTCAGGTGTGTGGGACAGTCCCCAAGGACAGGCACTCAGCGCTGGATCCCCACCTCTCAGGGCCCAGAGACCCCAACTCAGCAGTGGTGGTGACAGTAAGTGACGAGCCTGAGGCCCCAGAGTCCATCACCTGTGGGCCAGCTACACATCAGCCTGCATCCAACTCCAACCCAGGGCTACCAGTGAGTGTGGTGTGTCCTGTGGAAGAGGAGGAGGAGGCAGCTGCCACTGAAAAGCAACCCAAGAGTTACTGGAGCCGTCACTACATTGTGGATCTGCTGGCTGTGGTGGTGCCAGCTGTGCCAACAGTGGCCTGGCTCTGCCGCTCCCAGAGGCGCCAGGGCCAGCCCATTTACAATATCAGCTCCCTGCTGCGGGGCTGCTGCACGGTGGCCTTGCACTCCATCCGTAGGATCAGCTGCCGCTCACTGAGCCAGCCAAGCTCCAGCGCAGCAGATGGCTCCCAGCTCTGAGGCTACCAGCCCTCCACTTCTGGCAGCCTGACCACTGATTGTAGGATGCCATTTACTGCCCCTGTCAGATCCCCATGGCCATCCTCTTATTTACTTTCAGGTCTGAAATAGCATCCCCCACCCCAGATGTTAATAGTATCAGGGATTCAGAAAGGCATTCCAAAGCTTCGAGAGAAAAAGTTGAAGGTAGAGCGGGAGAAACTGCTAAGAGTTTCCCCTCTGGCCCCCCAGACTTCAGACAAGGCAGGCCCTGCTCAGAAAGTCTCTGGCTGTGTTGATCTGGGGATCTTCCTTTCCCTTGCACCATCCTTCCCAACACCCAGCACACTCCATGTCTTCTCTCCCAGGCAACCCCTTGCCCTCTCCCAGGCTCCTGGACCAGTATTACCTCCTCAGATGGAGACAGCCAGGACCCAAAATGCAGAGAACCACTCCAAGCAGGGTACCACTGCCCAGGTCCCACTGACAACTCCATCCTCTCCTCCTCCCTTGCCGTGGGATGCAGCTGGAATGATCAGCTCAGGCAGGAGGCGTAGAGAGCAGGGTAGGTTCTATGTCTCTGTCTGTCTGTCCTCCAGGCCCTCACAGTCTGTTTTCCTCTTGGCTTCTGGGTGTGTGAGATCGTCACTAGCTGTCCAATGCCCCTCACTACTCCTGACACACTAACCATGGGATTGGGAGGGAGCCCTTACCCCAAACCCCAGCTTCCATTGGGTGAATCCGCTAGCACAGAGAAGGCAAGGCCAGCAGCGCTAGGGGCCCTTTACCTTCTGAGATGAGTTCATCTCATCTGTAGCCTAGAGGTGCCTCAGCAAGTTGGGAAGTCAGAGGCCATTTGCCCCAGGCCCTTTGACCTCAGACCCTATGTTTGCACTCAAGTTCCCCTAGGGTCTTGGTTTCCTGCCCATCCCAGAACCCCCAGGCTGTTTACTTTCTGGGATGAGGGCTTCTGAATCTCTGACCCAGTTGTCTCCAGAGGAAGGTAGCCATCTGGAGGAATCTCCAGATGGTGTCCTGAAGCCACAGCATCTGCCTATCCATGCCAAAACAGGGTCCCCTGGGTGTGCTTCCTAAGCAGGGGCATGGCCAGGCAGTGGGAGCCTGCCTGGACTGCTCCTGGTCCAGTCAGCCTGGGAAGACGCCCTGATACTCACTTCCCTTTTCTTCCCAGAGAGGCCATACCTACCTGAGTGGCCCACACCCAGGAGTTGGTAGAAGCCTGCATCTCACTCTGACATAGGAGCCTCTCTGGTTCTCTGCTGAGGTCGCTGGCCCTCACTGTTGCCCCAGTGACCACTACTTGACTCATGAGTTCTGCCCCTCCACTCTGTGCCCTCCCCAAGGGCACCTGCATGCACCGCGAGTGGGCAGCCAGCCTAGCCATCAGGGCAAGAGCCCTCTGCCATGCGCTTTGTGCCTCCAAAACTCTCTCACCTTGGCTGGGGCCTCAGACCAGCCATCCTTGGTGGAGCACCCCTACCCCAGCTGAACCAAACCCAAATGCCTGAGGCCTCGCTGGGGCTGCCCCATAGGACACTGGGGTGGTGCCATGGAGACAGGGGATAGAACTGATCCAAAGCCAAGCCAGGACTGGCCACGGACCGAGCCTCCTTGTGCTGTGCACTCATGGAGCTCCATATGTCTCCTTAGCAACAGCTGAAGCTCTGCTGAGAAAATAAATGTATGAACTATATTTGACAACATAAAAATCCATATATTTTTCACCACTGGCATTTAGTCCAACTTTGCATCCCCTCTGTTCCATGTCTTGCTGTCTGGGCCTTCTTGTTGTGTCTCGTGTTTTGGTGGACTTGGGCAGGGCTAGGACTATGGTCCACTCTGTTCCTGCTGCTGGAGAAGCCATTGTGAAGCATCCAGGTCTGTAGAGACAGTAAGTGAAACTGACCATCACCCGCGCTGACCCTAGCCCTGCCTCGCCTACAGCAGAGGTCCTCTTTTGTGAGTTCTGCCTATCAGAAGGGCTCTGGCTCCTTGCCAGTGGAATGAGCAGGACATTACCCAGCCCTTGGATGACCCTGGATCCCTGCAGGCCGGGGTACAGGCCCTGCTCCTAAGTGTAAATGAGCCCAGAGTCCCATGCCTGTACAAGGGAGTTGCAATGTCTGTGCAACCCCACAAAGTGGGCTTGGAAGTAGACACTTCAGCAGCCTGCTGGTTCCATATCTGGAGAAGGGGATTGAGAGCGAGGTGGGACTGGGCTAGGCTCCCCTTTAGATGCTCATTCCCAAAGCTCCCCCATTTTCTTCCAGTTGGCCACTCCCCATAGGCTGCGATTTGCCCTCTTGCCCTTGGCTCCTGGAGCAGAAATGTGTAGGGTGCCCCTTTCCCCTGCCTCCAGTCAGAGCTGACAAGGTCTTGAGGAAGTGTCCCCAGGAACTACCTTCTATAGCTACTGAGCCCTGGGAGCACAGTGGCTTGCAGTAGTGGCTTCTTAGTTCTGGAGCCCTCTGTCAGGGCTCAGTGAGGACTTCTGAACAGAGGCAGCCTCGAGCAGAGTTCATGACCAATGTCTCAAGCAGCTAGCATACAGAGCTTTTCACTAAGAACCCTTTCCATCTTCACAGGCATCGGACAGCAGATCCCAGGCTCTAGGGCCAAAGGCTATTTATTGAGGGGCCTCCACCCAGGGAACTCGAAGCCCCTCTGAACTAGATGACAACACAAACAGGCCATCATACACTCTCACATTAGGCTATTCCCTTGGCAGAAACTTCAGGAGACACAGGAGGGGGGCCATGGGAAGGGGTTTTGACTCTCGGTCTCCTTTGTCTTTTTGTTCAGACAGAGTTGTGCCTGTAGCAGACAGCCCTGAATTAAAGCATGAACACACACACAGCCCCTCAGCCTGGTGTCTTTGTACCGTGTCATTTCTCTAAGTGTGTTGGGGTGGCTGAAAAACTCACCATGGCACCCAACAAAGATGGAACCAACTATTGGCTGGCTCAGCCCCACCAGGCCTTGCTGCGTAGGGTGGGGCCTCTCTGCCCATCTGGGATCAGGCACGGGATCTAGAATCCCCACTCTGATCCCAGATCACATCCTGCCCAGCACTGGAAGAATATTCCAGTTCTTCCCAGCAGTCCTGAAATGGCTTCTTTGGCCCATTCCATAGCTACAAAAACAGCCATAACCACTCAGGCAAGGGTCCTCAAGCCAGTAGAGGGTGTCCTCAACTATCCCTGCCACATGTTCCTCAGTGCCAACATCCCTATGACAGACTGGCAAGCATCCCACAACATAGAAACAGATCACTGCTCTCAGAAGGGCACACAGATAAGGCCTTGGCCTGATGGTTGTCGAAAAGCAAAAGCAACCCTGGAATGTCATAGGACCCAGGATTCTGGAATTTCTAGGAATTTTCATAGAAGGGGTTGTGTTTAAAATCCACTCTTTATTCAAAAGACAGTAAAGGGTTACAAGTAACCTACAGACAGGAAAGGGTTATACAAGTAATCTATGCACAACCCGTGACAAAGATCGATGAAGACAAAGAATACACGGGAATTCCTCCGTCAAGTCAGGAAGCAAAAGTCTGCAAAGGGACCCAGCTGCACTTGGTGACATTCTGCTATTCTGCCTAAGTGCCCAGCATCTAGGGTACAGAGCACCAAGTGCTCGAGTCCCACCCATACCTCAGCATACATAGCTAGGAGTCAGGACCCAAGGAAGCCTGAAAACAGCCATGACACACTCATTCAATATGCATCCACCTGGAACACACCCCTGCAATACCCAGACCCAAGCAGCAAGCCAGCTGCAACCTGTCATCTGAGGATTGCCGAGTTCGCTGCAGGATGGCAGGAGGCCTGGGCTGCCCTGTGACTTCAGATGTCTGGGATGGAGTGGTCCATGGTGTGGTGAAGCAGCAGCGGGGACAACCTAGACAGGGCAACAATGACAGTGGCCGAAACTGGCAGCTGTTCTTCCTTCATCCCCATCCCAACCTGTGCACCCACGAGGGCTGCATTCAGCCCCCACCTCTGAGGATTTCAAGTCATGAGACGCCACTAGCCACCATGAACTGAAGAAGAGTCAAAGACAGAGCAGAGCAGACCTGTGCCCTGGGTCAGCACCGAGGCTGCCAGAGCATAGGAATGGAGAGGAAGCAGAGAGCAGAGGTCGGGGTAGTAGCCTTACTTTTTGACCATATGCTCATAGATCACAGTGGGGATGAGGGTCAGTGTGATGACGTTTCCAGCGGTGGTCAGGATCTCTGTAATCTTTTTGTCCTGAAGAGGGGGAAAGTGGTTGGTCATTTGGAGGAATGGGAATAGCACTGCCCTGACAGGTTGCTCAGCATGGCTCATGTGAGAGGACACCACGTACACCTCACACCTGCCCACAGCATCTGGCTGCCTGGGACCCTGGACATCTCAGGTGGGGTATCGTTCCTCTTATTTGAGAATTGGCAGGGTCACAGGAACATGGCACTGGCCTCCCATTCTTGAAGGCTAGCCATGTGGGCCTTACAGCACTGCCCCCCAAATGTGATTCTCCAGCCTCAGCCAACTTTGCTGGCCCCAGTTACATGTGGGCTCCTGTGGGAGACACTGGGTCCACCTGTGTCCTCAGGCTCCTGGTGGCTCACCAGCCTGAGCCAGCCACATGGATCCTCTCCCACACCTCGCTGACTAGGAAGAGGACAACAGACAATCTCCATGGAAACAGTGTCCACCAGTCTATCGACTACAGTTGTGGTAATGAGCCTCTGGCCCCTGCTCAGGTCCTGGTGACCATCATTTTGCATACATACAAAATCTGGTTCTGTGCTTTTATAGTTGTTCCAGAATAGATGGAACAACTAAGTGGAAGAGATGCCCCATAAGACTAGCGATGGCCACAAACTCTGATAGATAACTGACCTCAAAAAGCATAACTATACCTAGTACCTGAGGGTCTCATGGTACCATGGCTAGGTAGAGGAACCTATAAGTTCACAGTGATACCTTGGACCACCTGTGCAGTATGTGAGACCCACATCCGAGCATGGCTACACTCAGAATTACAAATGGACTGTTATCTTTTCTTGTAGACCAGTATGGTCTTGAACTCACAAAGATCTGCCTGCCTCTACCTCCCGAGTGCTGGGATTAAAGGAGTGCACCACCACCACCTGGCTGACTGTTATCTTTTCAAAGAAGCCACTCCTAGCTGCTCAGGAGTGGCATTATTGCACTCAGCCTTTCAAGCGTTGACGGTGATGGCCTTTTGCCTGGTAGGCTTGATCACAGAGTACTGGGAGCAGGCTCACCAGGAGGGATCTCAGACATAGAACTCCCTGGCCACAATAGTACAGCCACCAGAACAAGTCTCCATGAAAGGTGAAGGGAGACTGCCAGGGACAAGGAAGCAGACACATGGCCCACTGTGGAGTGAGATGCCACCACCTGCCCCATGAGCACCACCTGCTGGAGAGGCACTCCCACTGTAGTGGCATGAATCAGGACTGGTCGCTCTCACTTGTTCAAGTCTCAGACCACAGCTCATTACTGCCCCTTCCCAGAAGACACCTCTCTTCCCACATCTACAGCACCAGCCTAAAGCCGGGTATACCTTCTTGCATTGTAAAGATAGAATTCACCTGCCTTCCCTGAATAAGCCAAGGCCAGAAATGGATGTCCACATCACCGTTTTCTAAAGGAAATCCCCATTACTGAATGTGATCAGCATCCAAAGAGAAATGCCACACAGAGGAGGAGGTGTCCTTGTGGCCAGCAGCCACCAGTGAGCCCAGGTCCTCACACATTAGGGTACCTGCTGGCCCATCTTGCGTGTTAGTATCTATAGTGGATTCTTATTGGGCACCTACTCATTCCGAGTGACACTGCTCATAGCTCCACACAGTCCTACTGAAGCCCCCATCTACCTTAGGATGGGCATGTTGAGGCTCTGGCAGGTTCTACAGCCTATGCAGACAGGAGCCGCCCCACCCCTACCATCTCCACAGTGCCTACCTTTAGCCCAATGACGTTCTGTCCGTTCACCTCACACACGTAGTGGTTAGTGAGAAGCCCGTTACGGGCTGCAGAGCTTCCCTTTACCACAGATACAATCTTCCCCTTCTTGATGAAAAAGCCAACTTGGCCTGAGCTGTCCTTGTGCATAGTGACAGTCCGCTGGAACGGCCTGGTAGAGAGTGACAGTAAGCTGGGCTTGTGGGTGTGGCTGGGGCCAGGCAGGGAGGATGCTGGGACCTGGCTACTGACCTGTCACGAACAATCATGGTGATCTTTTCTGCTGACGCCTTCTTCAATGCTTTGTGAGCTTTGTATGTGCTCCACCCAGCACAGTCACACCCATCAATCTGCAGGATCTGATCCCCAAAGCGCAACCCCACGAGGGATGCAGGAGTGTTGGCCTGGACAAGCTGCACAAAGAGCCCCTGGGAAGCAAGACTCCAGAGTCAGCACCCCTGGCTGCCTGAGCCTAGGCCCCTCCTCTAAGATGTCCCTTTCCCCTTACCCTGTGAGCTTACAGTGTGGTGGGACCTAAGATCTTCTGGGGGACACACAGGTTATGGCTATTTTCCTGGAGGAGGAAACACACCAGACGACCCAGCATATGCCAAATCAGGATTTCAGCATCACAATCAATTCTCCCGTACCACCCTTCCCAAAGGCATCTGGCTGACTTTCTCTACAGTCATCAGGAAGCCAGGTCCATGGGAGTTGGGGTACTGGAAACGGGGCTCTGAGTAAAAGGAGCCTTGTATGGGACTGAAAGAGGATCCCTGCTGCAACTAGGCATACCTTGAGGCCTCAGGTATTAAGGTGCCTGCATGGAACCTTCCTTACTGTGGACAGAGGCTCTCTGAGACCTGGGAGGGGAGGCCCCTATACACTACGCCATCTCAGACTGCCAGGAAACTGCCCCCAAAGGGGAGCTTATATCCCTGGGACTGTGACAAGTGCTACTTAGCACCAGAGGGGCACACTGTCCCCCAGGGGCTCCTCCACAGATCTTTACCTTATCGACAGCCTGCAGGCGCAGTCCAGTCTTGCCACGCTCATCCTTGCACAGATGGATCTCACGCACCCCAGGCTTGATCTCTGCACGCAACACACCCAGGTTGTTCCCAGAGACTGGTGCTACCACGTGGCCAGGCCCAGGGCTAGTGACCACCATCTGCAGACACAGTAGTGGGGGGGGGGTCAGCCAGGCACCTGGGGCCCATGCCTCAAGGGCCTCTGGGTTCTAGGGAGGGATAAGTAAGAGGGTGGAACAGTCCCTGAGGTCAAACACACACACACACACACACACACACACACACACACACACACACACACACACACACACACACACACACCAGGCAGAGGCTGAGAGGAAATGGCACTTGATGTTGCCACTAGAGGGCATCAAAACCCATACCCCTAACAAGAGAGGCAAGGAAACTGGGTTCAGGAAGGAGTTCCTTTATTTTCCAAAGGAAATGAAAAGAAAAGATCCACTTAAAACAAAGACATTTTCACATCAAATAACCAGCCACGGAAAATGAAAGGCTAGGTTTGACTTTGTCCTGAACCAAGAATAAAAATTAACAAATGTTTCCTCCTAGGAGACAGAAAAGAGAAGGATGTCTAGTCCTCACACAGAACGGTGAGGCAAGAAAATGGGAAATGGCACCCAGGAGAGAAAGGAGATATAGTTAGCCTTGTTGATAAATGGTCTACTAGAATATCCACAGAAATCTAAAAACAAATTCCTAGCTATAAGTAAATAAACACAAACATTCAAAGTCCTAGAATTCAATATCAGCATATAGAAATCAACGGTGTTGGACATGGTGGCATATATCTGTAGTCTTAGCTACCAAGGAGGCTGAGGCAAGAGGACCACTTGAACCCAGGAGCTGGAAGTCAGTCCAAATAACAGAGCAGGACTCAACTGTTATCTACACCCTGATTTAAAAAAAAAAAGCAGAAAAATGAGATATGTATGGCTCAAACAAGACATGTGTGGACATTGTATGCCAAAGGTGACAAAAATCCTGATAAACATTAACAAAGACCTAAGCAAACAGGTTTCCTGTATGCACACACTGGAAGAGCTAGCAAAGCTGTCGAATCCTCAGACCGATGTACAGATCAGGACATTTCTATCAAAGTTCTACGAGCTCTTTTGGAGATGCAGGCAAGGTAAGCTAGCTTTAGGTAGAAAGACAATGGAATGTGAATAGTGAAACTGATTCGGACAAATAGAACAAAATGTGAGGAACTGCACAGACACATCAAGACTTCTCTTGCCATAGTCCCCAAGGCAGTAGGTACTGGACAACAGCCAACCAGGGAATCCAGAGAGATCCTTACCATGAGAAGAACAACTGCCTTGTGGCAGAGGTCAAGATCAGTTGGGGAGATGGGGTTATCTTAACAAGATCCACTGAAGCAATGGGTGACAGGGGCAATAATAGGAGCCATGTATGTCATAGCTTTGCACCTTTTCCAAAACTCTACTCAAATTTGATTTTAAAGTTGTCTTAGCTAGGGTTTCTATTTTGGAGACAAAACACCATGACCAACAGGCGAGTTGGGGAGGAAAGGGTTAATTTGGCTTACACTTCTGCATTGCTGCTCATCTCTGAAGGAAGCCAGGACAGGAACTCAAACAGGGCAGGATCCGGAGGCAGGAGCTGATGCAGAGGCCATGGAAGGGTGTTGCTTACTGGCTTGCTTCCCATGGCTTGCTCAGCCTGCTTTCTTAAAGAACCCAGAACCACCAGCCCAGGAAAGGCACCACCCACCATGGCTGGACCCTCCCCGCTCCATTGATCACTAACTGAGAAAATGCCTTACAGCTGGACCTCATGGAGGCATTTCCTCAGCTGAGGCTCTCTCCTCTCTGATGACTCTAGCTTGTGTCAAGTTGACACAGAAAACCAGCCAGTACAAAAGTTAAATGTAAACCAAAACTGTAGCAATTTCAGAAGAATGTAAAAGAGAAAATCTTTAGGACTCAGGGTTTGGGGGAAAATTCTTTAGACAGGAAGTCCAAGAAATGAAAGGAAAAAGTATGAAAAAAATATGCTTGACCTCATCAAAATTAAAAGCTTTTTCTCTGCTAAAGACTATCATGGAGATAAAAAGCTAAGCCAAGTAGGAGATGGGTTTTATGACCCACATATCTGATGGGGACCTTGGATTATCAAATGTAATCCCTGAACTCAGCCTTTAAAAGCCCAACTAACATGCATGAAATGGGCCTGGTGATTGGGCTCAGTCAGGCAAGTGCTTGCCCAGCATGCTAAGGCCCTGGGTGTGATCCCTAGCCCCACACAAACCAGGTGCAGTGGTGCACATCTGTAACGCCAGCACTTGAGACATGGAAGCAGGGGGGTCAGAAGTTCAAGATCACCCTCAGCTACATATTGAATTTGAGGACAGACTGGACCAGACCTTGTCTCAGGTGGTGGGGGCATAATAAGATATGCCATATCACTAGCCATTAGGAAAATGCAGGTGAAGACTTGTCATAACTACTGATGACACCAAGTGCCAGTGAGGATGTGAAGACAGCAGGCATTTGGCACCACTGGTAGGAGAGGAGAATGCACAGCCCCTCCAAAAAATAGCCTGACAGCTGCCTATGAGCAGATTTATCATACTGCGTAGCAATTGCAAATTCCAGCCCATTATGCCAAAAAGGAAACTTGTATCCATATAAAAGCCTTTACACAGAAACCCTGTACATAACAGTAAGAAACTGTAAAATTGCCCTTGGCAGGTAAGAAGTGGCAGCTATGCATGCATGAGAACCTGAATTCAGATTCTCAGACCCCACGTAAAAAGCTGGTTATGTAACCATGTATCTGACACCCCAGATCTGGGGCAACAGAGACAGGAGGATCCCTGCCATTTATTATTACCCAGCTTCGCTGAATCAATGAGCTTCAGTTTCAGTGAAAGGCACTGTCTCAAAAACAATAAAGGTGGAAAAAGATTGAGCAAGACATTAACCCTAGTCTACACACATACACATTACAGACACACAAATAACACATGCATACAACATCCCAAAAGAGTCAGTTTCTGGTTTCTGCTTATATAACATTCTGAAATGATAAAATTATACAGACAGAAGGCAAGGCTGGGACACCATGGTAAAACACCCTAACATCCATGAGGTCCCCAGTACTGACAAAGAAATACAAAGAAAGGTAGGGGGAAGAGTAAGGGAAAAAGAGAAGGCTACCAGGGGTTAGGGAAGGAGGGAGGAGGGAGGTGATGTGACCACAAAGGGATGGGAGAGCTCCCTGAGGAGGGCAGCCACAGACACATATTTTATTAATGTAAAGTATTGGTCCTGCCACTGTACTGTGGCTATGAAAGCAACAATTGGTGAAATAGACTTCCTATCTTAGCAAGTTACCAGGAACCTGCTATTTAAAAACAAAAAAAAGTTGAAAACATACAATACTACAATAACTACAATAATAAAAAAAAACTGTTGAGTAAGGAGCTGGAGAGATGGCTCAGCAGTTAAGAGCACTTGTTGCTCTTGCAGAGGACCCGGGTTTGATTCCCAGCTCCACATGCTGGCTCACAACCTTCTATAACTCCAGTTCTAGGAATCTGACAACCTCTTCTGGCTTCCTCGGGTATCAACCACACATTTAGTACACATACACACAAGCAAAACAACCATATACATAAAAATAGAATTAACAAATCTTTTTTTTCAAAAACATCCAGGAAACCAGGCAGTGGTGGCACATGCCTTTAGTCAGCACCCGGGAAACAGAGGCAGCCTGGTCAACAGAACCAGTTGAAGGACAGCCAGGACTACACAGAGAAACCCTGTCTCAAAAACAAAAACAAACAAACAAACAAAAAACAAAATTAAGCAAACAAAAAAATCCAGGAGTGGTGGTGCATGTCTTTAATTCCAGTACTTAGAAGGCAGAGGCAGATATCTCTATGAGTTTAAAGCCACCTGATCTACATAGCCAGTTCCAGGTCAGCCAAGGCTACACAGTGAGACATCCTGACCCCCTGCCAAAAAAAAAAAAAAAAAAAAAAAAAAAAAAAAGTAGACACCTGTAAACCCAGTACATGAGAGGCCAAGTCAGGGGCTTGTGAGTTTCAGGTCAGCTTAGCTACATAGTGAGACCCTGCCTCAAAAACAAACAGCTAGCTGAGCATGACAGTGCAGTTTTTAAACCCAGCAAAGGCAGGAATACCTATGTGAGTTCAAGGCCAGCCTGGTCTACATGGTAAGTTCTAGGCCAGCCAGGGCTACATAGTAAGACCCTGCCTCAAAATCAAGCACAGCAAAACAAAACATCCAGGCACGGTGTGGTACATCCCAGAGCTTCAGAGATGAAAGCAGGAGGATCAGATATTCAAGACCATGCTCAGCTATGTAGTAAGTTTAAAGCCAGTCTGGGCAACATGAGACCCTGTCTTAGCCAAACAAACAAGCAAGAAACATTGAAAGGCAGAGTCACATTGTAACTTAATAGTTTAGGATAAAATCCTTCTAAAATACACGTCTTTGGGATTCCTTCCCAGAGGGCTCCAAAACAAGGAGAACCAGTGAAAAGCTCATGTGAAAGATTAAATCGGGATTGCCATCAGAAGGCCACATTCCCCTGTACTTCTAGAACATTCTGTAAAACATCCCATAGTTTTCTTCAGACCTGTCAAGGTGTGGCATGGACTCCATGTCCCGAATGCTTACAGAATCCCTTCTGTCACGGTCACCTGTGGCCTTCACTCTTTAACTTCTAATCACCACCTCAGCAAGCCAAAGTCACCAGATGGATTGTCACCAAGTTGGGAGGAATGTTTGTAAACTTACATTGTTTTTTAAAACTGCTCTTGAGTAGCCCAGGCTGGTCCCTATGCAGCTGAAGATAACCTTAAATTTCTCATTCTTCTACCTCCACCCTCAAAGAGTACAGGCAGGAAACACCATACTCTTTTTATACCAGCACTGAAGCTGGAGCCTGCTAGACAAGCACTCCAGCCCCGAGCTTGTTCTATAAAAGGAAATACTTAGTGTCAAACTCTGACCTCCATGTACACAGTTGAACATGCACGCATGCGTGTACACACACACACACACACACACACACACACACACCTTCTTAAATGACAAGACCAAGAGGTAGGATGTGTAGTTGCCACCTGAGACAGGAGACAAATACCTACATTGTCACCATCTGGAATCTGAGGCAGGCTCTTCTGGACTTCTTGGCTAGAGAGGGACAGCCCCATGTAACTCTCCAGTTCTGCCAAGTTTGGGTACAGCTCTGATGGTTAAGGAAGAGGGGAGGTATCATTCTGGGGCTTGTTCAGAGCCACCTTGGCTGGCCCAGGGCCACTCATTTTCAATTAAGCTAGGAAATTTCAAAATACTCTGATCCCCTGATCATGTTGTGTGTCCCAGGGTTGCTTGCCAGTGGCATGGACCAGCTCTGCCAAAGGCTTGAAGCACCTTTGTCTAGCCTCAGATACTGAGGCCTTCTTGTACCACTGAGGTACTCAGTTCAGCTGCTTTGGCACCAGTGGGACAGTTGACACAAAGCCAGAGCAGGTGCAGGACTACCAGGGACCACAGGCCATGATGGAGGGCAGCTCGGAGAGGCAGCAGAGCACTGAAAAGGGAGCCATGGGTCCTAGTTTAAGCTTCTCTCATAGGACTGACCCAAGATTGCTATGGGCTTCTGTAAGGGCTACCTCAAAATCTGGTTTCCCCAGATGATCTGCCTAGGTGGCACCAAATCGGGCAGTTTCTGCCTCTCTACGTCACTTTCTCCAATGTTTCCTCAAAGGGTGAAGGTTAACTGTACATGAGCCCCCACAAAGTGACAACTAGAAGTGGGCACTGAGAAGTGGCTAAAATGCTGGGACATGTCCTCGGGGCCAGTATTAACGCAGACACCCAGGAGAGGCAGGTACGGGAGCCTCAGATGGCCTTCCATGCCTGGTGAGAGGCCCACCAGTGCTTCGGGGTGTGGTGGGGTTGGAGCTCTCATGACACTGGGGTCAGACTCACTCACCTGAAAGTGGGGGTGCAGAAGCTATCGGGGCTGATGGAGGAGACAACCTGGGTGAGGCTCTGGCTTGGGCCTGAAAAGAACATGGAGTGTTGCTCAGCTGTAGCTTGGACTCTTGATGCCTGGGACTCCCTGAGGCAGGGACTCTGAGCATTGAGTATGATTGCAGAGTTGTGGGGGCGTGGTGCCCTGGAACCCTCAATGCTCCGGACCATATGTAAACTAGCCTCTACATATGTATGTGTATCTGCCAGGCAGAGAAAGTCAAATCCTGCATGTGCTCATGCACACCAAAGCTAAATGGATGGTGTTCTATAGCACAGAGGGCAACTCTGATGCACATCCAGCAATGACAAATACTTCAAATAGCCAGATGAGAGGAGTTGGAGTATTCCACGCCCAAAGAACTGACATAAGTCTGAAGTGACGGATGTGTCCGACACCCCCTGCCCAATCGGACCAGTACAGTGTGTGCACAGGCTGAAATGTTACACGCACCCCACAGATATGTATAGCCACAAACTGTCAATTAAAAATCAAAATGCTAGCTGGGCATTGGTGGCACACGCCTTTAATCCCAGCACTCGGGAAGCAGAGGCAGGTGGATCTCTGTGAGTTTGAGGCCAGCCTGGTCTACAAGAGCTAGTTCCAGAATAGGCTCCAAAGCCACAGAGAAACCCTGTCTCGGAAAAAAAAAAAAAAAGGCTATACTTTTAAAACATGGCTTCTTGGGGCTAGAGAGATGGGGCTCAGCAGTCAAGGGCACTTGCTGCTCTTGCAGAGGACCTGGGCTCGGCTCCCAGCACCCACATCACAACTTACAACCATCCATAACTTCAGTTGCAGAGGATCTGATACCCTCTTCAGGCCTCTGTGGACACTGGCATGCACATGGTACATATACAGCCATGCAGGGAAAATACATATACAAGTATAAAAATAAGTAATTTATTTTAATGTGGCCTCTTTGGGCATATGTCTTTCTGGCAGAAAGTTCTCTGGGGCCTGTGACCAACTATTTTCTGCTCATGGCAGCCAAAGCATGAAAGCCCAACTCCCAACCAAGTTCTCAGGGAGAAAGGCCAAAGTTCCCAAAGGTTTCTGGGAACACAGAGGGGATGGGGTGGAGATGGGAGAGGCTGTTTGGGGCTGAGCAGGCTGAGCCCATACCCTGGGTTTCCTGGGGAAACTGGCTGGCACCCGGGGTGTTCCTTCAGAGGATGGGGAAGTGTCAGAACCCACATGACTGTGGCTGGATTGTTTTCCCAGTTCTCCACAGGCCTTGACTCCTGGATTCTCCCTTACCCATCATCCCAGTGGTTCTCAACCTTCCTAATGCTGAGACCCATTAATACAGTTCTTTATGTTGTGATTCTAGCCATAAAATTATTTTCATTGCTGCTTTGTAACTGTAATTTTGCATCTGTTATGAATTGTAATATAAATATCTGCATTTCCCAATGGTCTTAGATGACCCTAAGAAATGGTCATTCAACCACAGGTTGAGGACCACTGCATCAGCCTTTACACTGGGCCCCAGGGCTTTCAAGAAATTCCCAAGGGCTCCCAGTACCCAGCATCCCCCAAGACAAGCTTTAGTTACAAGGGTTAATTCCCAAGGCCACCATAAGGGATTCTAGGCAAATGGAGCCTGGTTCCTTACCTGGATGACTTGGCCCACCTTCAGGTCCTCCAGAGATGGGTACAGGACAGACATAACTGCTCCTCAAAGCACCCTGCAGAGCAGAGAGGGTGAAGAAGGGTGAGGATGCAGCTCCCATCCTTCTGAAAAAAGGCAGGACAACAGCCTCCTGCCACCTGTGCCCCCAGAACTTGAAGACCGCCACCAGGAGTTACTATCCCATTTTAGAGAGGAGGAGCCAGGACTTACACCAGTCTGTCTGGCTCTCATGCTCATAATCTCCACCCACAAATGTCCACAGCTGACTGACCCTGAACCTTAGAAACCAAACCTAGTGGACCATCCAGGATGATGGTGGACCTTAGAAACCAAACCTAGTGGACCACCCAGAAGAACAGACAGGGTCAAGGGCTATGTGTCAAAGGTCAGATGAACTAGTAAGGTTTCCTCATCCAGTTCAGCAGGTGCACTGGAGCAGCTGTTGCATACCAGGTGTGGCTGTGAGCTGGGACAATGTCACTCACAACCATAAGCGGCTGGGACTTAGCATTTAAACAGAAGGGCAGGAGACTCTAGAAACCCTCCCAACTCTTTCCTTCTGTCCTGAGTGTTTCAGTTCCAGTCTGCCATCTGTCTTAGGTAGGGTTGTTATTGCTGCGATGCAACACCATGACCAAAGCAATCTGGGGGGAAAGGGTGCACTTCTTATGCACTTCCATATAACCGCTTATCACCAAAAGGAACTCAAACAGGGCAGGAGCCTGGAGACAGGAGCTGATACAGAAGCCACTGAGAGGTGCTGCTTACTAGCTTGCTCAGCCTGCTTTCTTGTAGAACCCAGAACCAAAACCCACATCAATTAAGAATATGCCCTACAGGGGGCTGGAGAGATACCTCAGAGGTTAAGAGCACTGACTACTCTTCCAGAGGTCCTGAGTTCAATTCCCAGCAACCATATGGTGGCTCACAACCATCTATAATGAGATCTGGTGCCTTCTTCTGGCCTGCAGGGATACATGCAGGCAGAACATTGTACACATAATAAATTTTAAAAATATAAAAAAAAGAATATGCCCTACAGGCCTACCTATGACTGGATCTTACTTATGGAGGTATTTTCTCAGTTGAGGTTCCTTCCTCTGACTTTAGCTTGTGTCAGACTGACATAAAAACTAGCCAATTGACCCCTTGACAACTTGACACACAAATAACACCACTTACTAAGCAACACTCCATGTTCTTTCTCAGGCCCAGGCCAGAACCTCACCCAGGATGCCCACTCTGTTGACACTGGTGGTTTCTATACCCCCACTTTCTTTCAGGTGAGTGAGCCTGACCCCAGTGTTCATACCATGACAGCCCCAACTCCTTTCTTGTTGTCCTCAAGATCTCATATGAACATTAATATTACAATCAGTCTTTACAAATCCAAACACTTTATTTTTTTGGTTTTTGGAGACAGGGTTTCTCAATGTAGCTCCAGCACCCCAGGCCTCCCTCCTTCCAACACACAAGCTGGGGCACTCAGTATAACCCTGCTCCACAGGAGGAGGAGCTGAAAGTTCAGAGGCACTGCACACACCCACACAGCATCATGCTGCCTGAGAATCTGCAGCACCTCTAAGTGAGGTGTTCAAAGCAGCTCAGATTATCAGCCTCTTAAAAAGACGCCATTCCTTCCCTAGGTGAACTGCCCAGGGGGAATTTGCATTTTTGGGTTCTTCCCTTTACACAGTAACCCTTGGCTCTGTCATACTTCCTGCCCCATACTAGGCAGGCCACTCCAGTTGGATGCCCCACCCTGCCTCCCTGTCACCTCCCCTTGCTGGACTTGTCTCCTAGGGTAGAGGTCACAGCCCTGTCACACTGGTCCCTGTCACCAGGACAGGCTCTGAGCTATACACCTACCAACCTTGAACTCTTCAGTTATCCCGTACCTTCCCAGCTCACTGCCACTATTAATGGTCATGGTATGTCCTTCTTGCCCTCATGTAACAGGAATGCCAGGAGGTGGCATAGGGAAGAGATTAGGCTGTGTATGATGTGTGAAAACCAGCCCCATGACCCTCCATGACCCACAGGGTGCTGAGGTCATTCTCCTGAATCACTTCTTCCGTACTTGCTGCCCCAACCCATGTCCTCCTAGGCTACCGTTCCCACCATCCCTCCAGGGATTATCAAGTCCTCCTCACCCATATCCCTGCCACACAGACCTCTTTCACTGTTCGGCCCCTTGTAAGTACCACAGCATCCTCTAACTAGGCCATTGCCTCCTCTTTCTCTGCTCCCCAGACAGTAGCCACCGGGCCTTTTAAGCATGAAGCCAGGATGTTGTGGCTTTCCTTAAAGCCCCCTGCCTCTTGGAGATGGGAGGTGATGCAGAGGCCTTGGTGGAGTCCTGCTTTCAGCTGCTCTCCACAATCCCTTTATGCCTTCAAAACCAGTACCACATGGGCAGCACTACCAAGTCCAGCTGCCAGCACTGGTACAATGTTGACTGAGCCTCAAACACAGCTTCTGTGTGCTGACTCTCAGGAAACACTTCCCAGATTTCACCCAACTGATGCTGTTCTCTGTCTGTCTCTGTCTCTCCCCCCCCTCTCTCTGTCTCTCTCTCTTCCTCCCCCTCTCTCTCTCTCATTCCCCTCTCTCTCTCCTCTCTCTCTCTCTCTCTCTCTCTCTCTCTCTCTCGCTCTCTCTGGGTTTTTCGAGACAGGGTTTCTCTGTATTGTGTTGGAGCCTGTACTGAAACTAGCTCTTGTAGACCAGACTGGTCTCGAACTCACAGAGATCTGCCTGCCTCTGCCTCCTGAGTGCTGGGATTAAAGGCGTGCACCACCACAGCCTGGTGATGCCGTCTCTTTTAATCACCATTAATTTCTCAGCCCCAGCTGATCAGCATCTCATATGCCAGTAAAGTGATGGTTTTACATCAATGGCACTGGTCTCTGACCAGAACCACGGATTCTTAATTCAAAACATCAAACAGCCCCAAGAGGGCCTTTGCTTCTCTCTGAAACTTCACAAGTCAGACCTCCGTCATCTTCACTGTTTTCAGTACTGTCCTCAGATTTTCAGAGTTCTCACAATGGCTCACCAAGCTTTGAACTCTCAATGGCTTTTCCAGCCCAAGTTCCAAAGTTCTTCCACAATCTACTTCAAAACAACATGGTAGGGTCGATCACAGCAACATCCCACAACCCTAGTACCAATCTCTGCCTCAAATTTATTATTGCTGTCGTGAAACACCATGACCAAAAGCAACTTGGGGAGGAAAGGGTTTCTCTGACTTACATATTCTGAATCACAGTCCATTGAGGGAGGTCCAAGAAGGAACTCAAACTGAACAGGAACCTTAAAGCAGGAGCTGCATGATTCAAAGGCCACGCAGGAGTGCTACTTACTGGCTTGCTCCTCGTGGTTTGCACAGTCTGCATTCTTATAGCACCCAGGACCACCAACCCAAGAGTGGCCCCACTCACAATGGGCTGGGCCCTCCCAAACCAGCCACTAATTAAGAAAATGCTCTATAGGCTTACCTACAGCCAGATCTTTTTGGTTTTTTGAGACAGGGTTTCTCTGTAGCTTTGGAGCCTGTCCTGGAACTCACTCTGTAGACCAGGCTGGCCTTGAACTCACAGAGATCCACCTGCCTCTGCCTCTGGAGTGCTGGAATTAAAGGTGTGCGCCACCACTGCCGGCCTACAGTCGGATCTTATGGAGGCATTTTCTCAACAGATGTTCCCGCCTTTCAGATGACCCTAGCTTGTGTCGTGTCAAGTTGACATGAAAAAAAAACCAGCATACACACACACACACACACACACACACACACACACACACACACACACACGGCGCTCCCCTGGAATCTAGCCTGTATTTCCTCACATGGCCCACAAAGGCTCCCTGAACCTTCCCTGAAATGGAACTGGTGGCCCAAGGGCCAAATGTAAAGAAATTGTATTTGACCTTACAAAGTACTTAACAATTTATTGCTTAAATGCAGAATTGCAGATGCTACCCTTAACAGATTCTGACCAATCCCAGAAAAAAGAAAAGAAAAGAAAGAAAAGAAAAGAAAAGAAAGCTTTGGCAACTGAAACTTCCGCTGAGCATCCACAGACTCCAGTGTGCATGGCCCTGCCACTCTCCATTGCTTCTTACACCCAGGCCACTCTACTTATCGGCATTGAGTTCCGGTAGAGTTTTGTTTGCCATTTTGACCTCTCCCCAGGTCCACATCATTCCATGTGCCCTTCCTCTAATCCCTGCTTTCAACAGCTGCAACAAGGAAATACTTTCAGATACTGAAATGGACATTGATCTCTCTTGTCTCTCAGTATGTCTGGCATACTGTCTGGATCACAATCCCTGCTCCTTGCCCAGCTCATTCCAAATAATTCTCAAGTCTAAAATCATGGGATCCTTCTCATAGGAAGCCAGCTCTGATTTGTGCACACTGTAGTGCTCCTCCTCTGTCCTCACTACTGATTATTAACTAGTATTTTAGTTGACACCACTTGTCCTGTTGTTTTGTTAGACTGGGAGTCCCAAAGGGGCATTCTCATTGGCTGCAGGACCTCTCAAACCCTGTTCATGGAGAATAATGCAATGATATGCCAGACACAATATATCTGGCCCTTCTAACTCCTCCCTTTGTAAAGCAAAGTTCTGGTTTTCAAGACCACATCCTTCTTAGGAATGGGGTCTAAATGTACTTTGTGAGTCCTTTTTTTTAATGTGCACTGGTGTTTTACCTGCATGTATGTCTATATGTGGGTGTTGGGTACCCTGGAACTGGAGTGACAGACAGTTGTGAGCTGCCATGTGAATGCTGGGAATTGAACTTGGGTCCTCTGGAGGAACAGTCAGTGCTCTTGATTGTTGAGCCATCTCCTTAGCCTCCATCTTTTGTGTCTCAATCCTGTGTAGTTCCTTAAATATGAATTGTCAGATCATGGGCCTGCCCCAAAGATGATCACTCTAGTAGGGGGCCAGATCCTTCAGTTTGACTTATGGTCCTACTCAGAAACAGGCTCCTCCATGTTTCTTGTCACATATTCTCTCATAGACTAAATCATGTGGTATGGCACTTTCTGCCCTTCTCTGAAAGGATATAAAACACAAATACTTTCCCACAGCTCACCCCTCCCCTGTTCTATGACAGCTGTCTAACCCTAAGCTCCCTCTCAATGCAGCTCCTCGCCAGGTTTCAAAGGGAAGCCTCTCCTGTCCTTAAACATGCTGTCTCTGGTGGAAGACACCGTCCCTCCTTAAAATGCCCTCCCCATCAAGGCATGGTCATGGGTCCTGTGGTCTTGAGGCTCTTTCCCCTAACAAAGTTCATTCCTGAAGGGTATTTTTGCGTCAGCTTCTTTCCAAACCCAAGCAACCAACACCCCCCACCCACTCACCCATCTGCTTGCAGCCCCTCTTCTCTGACATGAACCCGTGCTAGCATTACAAAATCTGAAAATAGGAGTCTCATTGCTAATTTGTTCTGAAAAATATAAATAGTTAGCAGGTAAGTGTCATAGCCAGGACTCCTTTGTAGATGGGCTGTACCTACGTCCCTGCCACTCAAGTACTCAACCGGCCCTTTGCTGATTTTTGTTGCCCGCCTGGCTGCTGGAGAAAACAGCTGCAGTTCTCGGTCCTAGGCTAGACTTCGGGGCAAAAATTACTATCCCTAGACAAGAATTCCTAAGAGGAGGGGCGAGTATGATGCTAACCTTTTAGATTAGCTAAGGGAAGAGACCTCTTTGCCTGGGGCCTGCACTACCGTGCATCCTCCAGGTGGCTTTTATCCTTTTATCCTTGAAATAACACTTTGTCACGAGAATATGCATGCGCAGATATGAACTTAAGAGACCGCCCTGTCTTCCTTTTTCTAACAGTACAGCAATAGAACAGATGCTTTTTGCAGCTGCCCTCTGAGAGAAAGCCGTCCCAGAGGCCCACTTCCTGGAAACTGCCCCCAGGCAGAAATCCTTTCACCAGGCTGCTGTTCTTCCCCTCACTACAAGACGTCCTTGCCTGGGCAGTAACTCGAGATGAACCCTGTAACCCGTCCCTTCCCTTTAGAAATGGGAGCAAGTAGGCACAGACAGCAAACTTCACGCACTGAGTTGCCCCGATAGTCCCAATTGTCCAGGGACCATCTTCTATATGTCCCCTCTTCACACGGCTCCATGGCCGCCCCCTGCTTCCCCCCTCCCCGCCCTCAACCGCAACACTCCGCTATCTGCTCAGAGCGCAGCCGGAAGATGCATCTCGCCTGTGGGTTGCAACTCCTGCAAAGTCCGGCTCGGCAGCATGCGGTGCCTACAGCGCGTGCGCACCACAGCCTGCTTGCTGTGGGCTCCCAGGATGCCCCGCGGCTGCGGAATCGCCGTCGGCAGGCATCCTCTTGCAGCTGAGTTGCGGACAGTGTGTGCTACTCGAGTGTACCCAACATCGAGTTTCTTTCAGGCGCCGGCATCCAGAGTCCAGCAATGCTGCAGAGTACCGGACAGGAAGACCCTCCTCACGTGAAGCGACTCGGTGGTTCTCCCGAGAGCCCCTTGTTGATCATAGCTCGACGCCCCGTTTGACTTAGGGCACTGAGGCAGCAGCAATGGGTGGGAGAGGAGAGCAGAGTTTACACCATGCTCCACTGTTAGTTCTGAAAAGGAGATTCCCTCTCCCTTTGATTTAGAAGCGCCTTCAAATCCCTAGGTGTTGCCTCTGGTGTCGCCCCCCTCTCCCACGCTCTCGGGATTCTGCCATAGCCCTGACTCTTGACATGCCCTACTTAAAAATGCACCCCTCTCCCAAAGGCACCAGCCACCAGAGATGGAACCATTGCACATCGGCAGCCCAGGGAAGTGGACTTGGCTGAGGGATCACCTTCCACAGAAAATCAGACCGAGCTCCCTTTGTAAGGAGGGCAGGAAAATATCTGGAAAAGCAGGAAAGCCTCCTCGAGGGAGAAGACCCGCCAATGACCGTGAAGGGTGGAAAGTTTAAGCCAATGAAAGTAAAAGTGTGCTATTCCCGGATAGGGAGACCCAGGCCAGAGTTCCACCTGCTGTTTAGATATTTATTACCTTCAAGATGTTTTCTTGAAGTTTTCCCAAATCTTGACTGTATCCCCACCAAATACACTCATGGGCTGAGCCAGAAATCTAGGAGTTGCCCTCAGCCCCTGCCTTTACCTTTTGGCGAAGCCACACCTAGCTCTTGACATCAGAATTAATCTCAGACTTCAATATGACTTTAAAATTTAATTTCATGACTGAATCCTGGAGGGCATGTCTCTATTGCTCACTGCATTTCACTCATTTCAAACTGTTTGCTGGTTGTAAAACTCAGCCTGCTAGCCCATGCCTTTGTGCTTTGGGAGTGCTGTTTTCTCTGTCTTAAATGCCACCCACAGTTCATATGGCGAATTGTTCAGCTCTAAGCCTCCCTCTGAATCCTACACCACACAACCCCCAAGGATCGTCAAACCTCTTCTCCCTAGACCACAACATCTCATGTATTCCCTAGTCATTGTTCATTCCACAAATGTTTAGGAAGCTCTGACCCAGGCCTTTTGCATTTCCTAAATTGAAATTTCACCAAGCTGTATTTGTTTGCCTGTCATCCTCATTAGCTGGTGTGAATTTCCAGAACCAAGCCTTCATAAAGTTACAAGAGGAGAAAAGCAGACATAGGGAAGAGAATTCCGTGACCTAGTGGGTATCTATTTCCTCCCAGTTGAAACAACATTCCCTCCTGGAAGGGAGTAGGAGGCCTATAGGCCTCAGGAACCTAAGGAAGCATACAACACTCTGAGGAGCTCAGAAAGCTATGATTCACAAAGCCCTCCCCAAGGTTATATAAGCAGTGAACAGTTGCCTGGGAGAGAAGACTCTTCTGGGGAGCTATCTGCTGTCATCACCTGTGCTGGGGTGGGCTCTCCTGCGATGGAGCTGCCTTTGAGTCACCTAGATTCCTTTAAGCCCACTAAACTCCTTGGTTCACTACAGTAGGCATGGGATCTTTGAGTTGGCCTGTCATTTGTTCTGTCTGAGGTGAATAGACATTTGTTCACATCTCCCAGAAATGTCACCTGACACCTAGATAAACATGCTTCCAATTACCACCTGTAGAAAGTCCTTTGAAGAATAACTGGGTGTAGAAAGGGAAACTACAGCCCTATGAGTTACACATAAAATAGTATGATAATGAAAGTTTGTTCAGTTTCTACAAGTTGTTGGCTTCTTAGAAGGGAACCAGCCCATCCAGTCCTTGCTCCTGGAGGGACTTCCCTTCCCCCACAACACCTTACAGATATCCATCCCAGAGCTTTCTACACCTCTTCAAATTGTAAGCAATAATAACACCCACAGCGTATCAGCAGTCAGGCTCTGTGGAATCAGCGGGGCTGGAAAGGGGCCCATCAGCCCCCATCTTTGAACTTAAAAGAATGAGAACACTTTGTTCTAAACTGCTGGAACTCTGGGACTCCCACTTGTTCCTGTGGACAACTCATCCATCCTTCAGAAAAAGCAGAAGTGTGGGTTAATGTGGTGGAGTAATAGCTCCTGTAAGGCCAAATTAACCCAGGGATCTGGTGAATCGGCAAGGAGGGGGCTGTTGCTAAGCCACAACATGTGCCCTCTCCTTTCAGGGCTGCACTGCTAGAGGGAACTAGGAAACGCTGTTCCCTCAGTGAAGGACCAGGGGAGGCAGAGCAGAGGCTGGGACGTTAGAGAGAGGCTCAACCTACTGCCTACCTCTGACTGTAAGAACAAACAATGGGCAAGGCTCTATGTCATTTCTGTTGTAATAACAGTAATAACACTTTCACCACAGACTATTCGAGGCATGAGAAGATTAAAAGAGATCCACATAAAGAATATTTAGCACAGTACCTAGCACAAATAGGCAACTCCGTAATAGCTGTCTGCTCATCCCACATGCATTTATTAGATTTCCCTGAGTCCAGGTACTGTTTGGGATGCCAGCTGTACAAAGTGAGCAAAATTATCACTCCATGAGGTAGGGACTTCGTATTGGATTAAAAAGCTCCAAAAACCTTGTAGGCTGTGTCAGATGGTGAGAAGATCTGGGGAGGAGGAGGAGAGCAGAGAGTGGCAGTAGGACTCGGGGAGGCTTTCTGTAGGGATGAGAGACAGTTGAGTAAAAGCTTAAAGTGGCAGAAAGGCAGTGCCACTGCACAAACCCTGAGGTGAGTGCCCTCTGTGGCTAGGGACACCTGAGGGAGAAAACCAGAGAAGTGGGCAGACGTCCAGATTTGGAGAGCTTGAAGGTCTCGGTGAGGATTTGGGCCTTTCTTGAGTGAGAGACTAGGGAAGTCTGAGCATCAGAGAGCCACAGCCTTTGGGGCCTCCTGGCTAATAGTTGTGGGATAGATATGAGGTAAGGGTAGATGCATAGACTAGTGTAGAAAATCATTCATACTTCAAACCCTGCCTGGGCCTGGGGTCAGAAAAGGAAAGCTTTGTCCCCATTTCATTCCAAGAGTGAAGCAAGTTTTTTAAAAGACTAGAAGACAGGACAAGGGAGGGAAAGAAATGATGGTGAGCAGGTCTTGTTTAGCTCCTGTCCCAGCCAATACAGTCTGTTCTTACCTGCTGGCTCGATGCTCTGTATCTGGCTCCAGTCACTGCAGAGTCTCTTGGGATGTGCTGGTGGCCTGTGTCCCAGCTGGATTCCTGTTCCAGGAAGGGTGGTGCCCGCCCCTTGTTCAACTGACTCACATGGACTGGGATAGGCCCAGGTTAGGCTGTGTGGCTACGTAAACAGAGCAGTCACCAGGCCCACATGAGGCCTTTGCCTTAATCTAGATTCAGAGGTGGGGTTAAGGACACAAGGCTGATATGAGTAGGTGTTGTACAAATGAGTACAAACTAGGGTTAACTGGCCCTATGAGGAAGTCAGCACTGGCTGTAGAGGACTCACTCTGCTGGAGGGAAAGTCAGTTGGCTGGAGAGCAGGGTTTTTTACAGTGGCCATGTTTTGTAACCTAGTATATTTCTTAGAAATGTATTGCAATGAAGTCTCTGGGTCCACCACTGTGTGTTTCTTTTAGTAAAGCCAATCGGGAAATCCCAGATGCTTGACATTGGTTAAAGGAGTCAGCAATCTGTGGAAGATGACAAAATTATTAAATCATGTAAGGAAGTTGCCAGGAGGAACTATAACCACGGCACTAGTGAGACTGTGAGAAATCACATCAAGGTCCTACCCTCTGGTTTTGTTGTCAGAAAAGCTTGTTTGCCTGCAGGCAGCTGAGGAAGACAATTTCAAATGCAGAGTGGCTCTAGATGGGAACTGAGGTCTCTTCCCTTTCTCCTTTCTCTTGTTCATTCCTTCTCTGAGATGTTAGGAGTCAAGTTTTACACTCCTGAGCAAATGCTACAAATGCTAGCCTGACATCTCCAGCCCTGGTGAGCTTTTCAGTTTGTACTTTTGTATGGGTTTCAATGATGGTAGGTAGGAGTGTGTGTGTGTGTGTGTGTGTGTGTGTGTGTGTGTGTAGCATACTGGCCTCCATGTGCATGTAGAGACCAGAGATTGACACTGCCTTCTTCCTCTCTCTATTCCTTTCCACTTTAGTTTTGAGACAGATCTCTGAACCTAGTGCTCACCATTCTGGGTAGCCTGGTTGTCCAGCAAGTCCCTGGGATCTGTCTCTACACCCCTGGTGCTGGAGTTACAGACATATGCTGTTGTTCATAGCTTTTACATTGGTGGTGGGGTCCACATTACCCACTGAACAATCCAGCCACCTGTGCTTATGATTTTCCTAAGAAATTGAGTAAACATGTTTGTTTATTTTTTTAATTTTGTCTCTTGTAAGGGGAATGAAGGAACTGTGTTGAGGTTGTGTTGGAATAGGACAGTTTTTCTTCCTTTTCCTTTGTCACTTTGCTTTGTTGTTGGTGGTGATTAGTTTTGACACAGGGTCTCCCTATGTATAGTCTTGGCTGCCTCTGACAACCAGGTGCTAAGTTTAATGTTTGTGCCGCCATGTCCAGCTTCTTTGTGCTCTTTACATTTTGAAATTTTTAAATGTATATTTATCCCATTAAATTATCATATGCAAGTCAAGTTAAACAGAAGAGGAGGAGGAATTCCTGGTGGGTATAGTTGGATGACTTTGTCTAGGGAGGGACCTAGGAGTCATGTGCTGGGCAATCCCCTAAGCAATGACGCAGGTCACCTACCTACTCAGGGTGGGGTGAGTATCAGGGATGCTTGCCAGGCAGGCTCACTTCACAGTTCCCATGATGAGCCTGGCAGGATTGTATTAACAGCAGATCCTGAGGCACTGCCTGACTGTGAGGAGCCTACAGCATAGAGTGCCACACAAGGAACACATCCAGGAATGGTGACACCCCTTTGCACATGGCCTTTTGCCTCTGACTCTAAGAATCATCATTTTGTGTTGCTCATGTTCCCAAAGGCTGAAAATTGACCTGTGGTTCCCTGAGAGCAAAGCCTACATGTTAGCTCTACAAAAGATGTTCTCAAAATAAATACTGGAACCAGGGCTATGACCAGGATTTGATTTTTTTATAGACTTCCATGAATAATTTTAATAGGTTTAAAACATTGGTGGCTAAATGTACAGCATTCATTTAGAAACTCCCCGCAGTACTGTGGCAGACCTGAGCAATCAGCCACTGCACCTTCGCGCTTAGCTCATGGCTTGTTCAGAATCCTCTGTGCATGCAGGGCGGTGGTGGCACATGCCTTTAACCCCAGCACTCGGGAAGCAGAGGCAGGCAGATCTCTGAGTTTGAGACCAGCCTGGTTTACATAGTGAGTTCCAGGACAGCCAGAACTATATAATAGAGAGACCTTGTCTCAAACATATATACACACTTGTGTCTACATGTGTCCTTGAAGGGAGAGGTGTTAGAGGAAAGAACGTTGGAGATACCTGTAGGAAGAGGCAATGGAGAAAATGGAGCTGGGGACAACTGATTGTCACCATTCTGAAGTAGCAACAGCAAGATGGATAGTTTCCTTAAATCAGGTTGGCCATTTCTCTACTTACCAGGCTATTTACAAACTTTACAGAGTTGTATAATATGAAGTGAATTTTGAAAACATTCCTAAAGCTGATCATGGTAATACATGCATTTGAGAACTAAAGTAGAATGATTTCCTTGGGTTGGAGATCATCTTGGGCTATGTAATGAATGCAGGCCAGTCAGGGATACATAGCAACTCTGTCTCAAAAGAGCAGACATGGGGATGGGGAGGAGTGCTGTGAAAAGCTGTCCTCGGCTGCTGCACACATAAATCCACTGTAGCTGTGGACACCTGTATGCATTCGAGCCAGGTAAACTTCCAATATGGACCATGGAGGGCCTACCCAAGGCCCTATCCCTAGCCAAGGACCTACTGGAAATTGATGCAAGACCTCTCTCTCTCTCTCTCTCTCTCTCTCTCTCTCTCTCTCTCTCTCTCTCTCTGGAACTCACTAAGTAGACTAGGCTAGCACAGGACTCACAGAGATCTACCTGCCCCTGCCTCCAAGTGCTGGGATTAAAGGTGTGCGCCACCATGCCCAGTCTGGGAGCCACTTTTATTTGGAAAAGCCTTTTAGTGAACTTGAGACCCTTCAGAAATTAATGGTTATGTGAATATCCATTTAAACCTTAAGCTTTTAAACATAAGACATGGTTGGGGAGTATATTATGAAAATCTACAGACAGCTGAAGATTGACATTTTTAGCTGAAATCGGAATTTCAAATGAAAATGAAAGTTCTTCAGCTGAAGTCTGAAGGCTGTAGGAAGGATAAACTTGTTATGGTCTAGTCATATGGACTGGTGGGCTGGTGGCTCATGGTGTGGTGACCTTTTCATTTGTGAGTGTAAAATATGTTACCCAGTGCTTAAGAGACTAACCTCCAGATGATGTAATCACTGTGACCATGGTTTCACAACCCTGACAGCTCTATGTGCCAAGCCAGCCTCTCGCAGTTTGCTATGAGACAGTACCTGCAACTGAGATATTATTTGGTAATAATGGTCTAATGGTGGCCTCCCAGCCTTCTCTTTCTCAAGGCTATTAGGGTTAAAGGGCTTGTCTAGGAACCTCTCTGATTGCAGAAGGAAGATAGGGGCTTATGAAGTCTAGACTTTCCTTCCATGTTGTGTCTGCTGTTTAATAGCGGCCAGTTACTGTACCTAGAGATTTAGTGGTTTTCTTTATGCAAATTATAAATTTTACCATAAAATGAAAAAAAAACCCTCAGACATAAAAACATCAAGGGCATTCTCTACTGCAAGAAGGGAGAAGCTGCTCAACAGGGAAGGAGTTTCTGTGCCTTCTGACCCAGCCCAGGAACCTGGAAGGTGCCTTGCACCCCAGGCTAGTGTGCCACAACTGCACCCGTCCCTCTGGGAAGTAATGGTAGTCCAGGTGCCTTCATGGCATTCCTATAAACAGAGAGTTCTACTGGATTTTCAGGAGCTGGTCTCCAGTGTTCTTCAGAACAGTCTCCAGGCTGATAGTAACACCTTTCTTGGGGCTACACAGCCAAACCTGGCTCCAGCAGAATGCAGTTGCCTGGCTCCCAGCCCCAAGCAGCTGGGCTACAGCCTTTTACCTAGAGTACTCCACTGGTCCTAAGCAGCTACAGCTTTGAAGGGTGGCAAGAATTTGACTTCATGGCCACATGTGTGGGAGGCTTGGAAATGACATCTTTTAGCTTCCAGATAACATTGGGGTTCCCTTAGTAAGAAAAGGGAGGCCAGGCGCGGTAGTGCATAACTTTAATCCCAGCTCTCAGGAGACAGCGGCAGATCTCTGTAAATTCAAGAGCAATCGCGTCTACACAGCAATTTCCAGGCCAGCCATGGCTGCATAGTAAGAAAGACCCTGTCTCAAAAAAAAAAAAAAAAAAAAAAGGAAGGAAGGGAAGGAAGGAAGAAAAAGGAAGGAAGGAATGAAGGAAGGAAAGAAGGAAGGAAGGAAAGAAGGAAGGAAGGAAGGAAGGAAAGAAGGAAGGAAGGAAGGGAGAAATGCAAAGCATAGGGAGAAGGCATGGGCATGAAGTGTGCACTGAACAGCCTCAGCTATCCTTGCCCAGGTGTGCATAGGGCCTGAGCTGACTGATCCTACCTGGCCCTATGCCTGTTGGTCCTTCCCAGACACTGTCCTGAGAACATGTGCCTACAAGAAAGGGCATGGAAGAGTCATGAGTGGGGACTATTTCTAATCTTTTGTCCTTCTGCAGGCCTTCCTCCATCTTCCTGTATGTCAAATGGAGATCATGACCGACAGATTTCTGACCCCATTACAGAGAGCTCTTGATGCGGGAGTCCTCTGCCAAAGCATACTATCAAGTCCTTGGTATGAGCCTCTTTCCACATTTGTTCAAGGAACAATTTGGGTGTACTATCCCAGATATCTAAGGTTCCACAAAGGTCCTACACAGGGCCACCTGACTCCCTGATAGGTCCCAGACACCACAGATGCCCATGTGAGCATTTGATCTCTGGTCTGCAAAGACAACAAAATGTGATTCTTGTCCTTTCTTAATGCCATCTTTTCTTTGTTTCTTTCCCTTTCCTTTCTTCTTTTCTTTCTTTTTCTGCTATTTGGCAGTTTGTTTTAGCCAGGGTAGGCAAGGCCATGTTGAGATAATAAACACAAAGTTCATTTCTCACACATGCACATGTGTGCCAATGGCAGGTCCTTGTCTCCTTAACAGGTTCCAAGGTGGTAGAGCAACTGCAGCTCAAAAACTGTCAGCAGCTGGGCATAGGAAAAGAGGTCTCCACTTGGGAAGCAAATGCTCCAAATGCCACTTTCTACCCTAGGTGACCCCACCAATATAAAAGGGGTTTCAGAAATGCTCTCCCACCTTGTGTCTGAAACTCAGAATTAGACATGTCCCCAGGTGTCAGGTGATTGACTGATCACCTGTGGGGAGGGAGAGCAGGTGTTCATGGGTGTCCTCATAAGACTATCACCTCCCCAAGGAGTGAGGGAGTCAAAGCAAATACACCTGCTACTTCAGAACCTGGTGTTGTGAAGAGCAGGTGGCCCTACCTTTCATTCTGCCTATGGTCTGTGAGTGTTCCCCCAGAATCCATGGACTGAAATCACCAGTGACACATGAAGCTTTTGCAGTGTGGTTAAGCATGGAGGTGGAGTCATTGCGAATGAAGCTCATGCTCTTCAGAGCCTTGGACAAATGCATTTCTACAGGGGAGGACACCAAGGATAATGTACTGGCCCAGTTCCTCTTCTGAGAGAGCCGTCAGGTGTGCTCTTGCAGGCGGTCGAGCCTTATATCCCATCTCATTTAAGTCCTTGCCTGTCAGATTTGTTCCTTTGATTCCCATTTCCAGCAATGACATCAGGGGGTAGAGTGGTCTCAGGACCCACAATCCTGCACTCACAATCCCGAGGTGGCTGCTTGAGGTGGCAGGGACTAAGAGTTCCTACTTGGGGCCTACATAGGCCATGCTTAAGATTGGAAGGATGGGTCCCTTCAGGAGCAGGACCAGGATCACTGAGCTCAGGTGGGCTGTACAGACCAGCAGCACCAGAGAACAAGGTTCCTGTTCAGTAACAGTAAAAAGAACCATTTTTGAGCACTTAACTGTACGCTAGAACCTGAGTCCCTGAATCTGAGGGATTATCTCAGGATCCTCACCTTAGCCCTAGTGTTAGCCAAATTTTACAGAAGAAGAAATTGAGGAATAGAGTTTAGCTTTTATGCCCAAGGTAAGAAATGAAAACCAGATTAGAATTCAGGCAGTCTGGTTCCAGAGAGAGGGAGAGGGAGAGGGGGAGAGAGAGGGAAGAGAGGAGAGGAGAGGAAGAGAGAGAGAGAGGGGGGAGAGAGAGAGAGAGAGAGAGAGAGCACTCCCATTTCCCTCTGTGGTAGGTATCCCAGTTTTCTTCTGCCTCTGACTCCAAGAGGGACCAGGTTGAGGCATAGACCCTGCATTTCACTCTCAAAGCTGGGGTTCCAGGCAGGTCTGGGGCTGCCCAACAACTACAGAGAAGTCTAGAAGCTTCCAACTGGAGAGGAGCAGAGGCTGTAGATGCTGGACACCATTCTGCTTCCAGAGAACTGAGAGCTGAGATGCAGAGTTGGGTGGGGTGCTTTAGTGCAGGGCCACTCAGGTAACTCTACAGAATCACAGATCTCTGGGCTGTATCCACAACACTGTTTTGTTGGCTCTCCTAGATTCAATGATACCAAGTTGAATTTTAAATAAAATTATCAAATCTGCTTAATAGTGTTTTTAAGTTTTAAAACAAATCTGACATACCCTTTTAAAGTTGGTCACTTTTATTCATAAAATTGCACTTCATTGTCCCTTTAGTAGGTGACCAAAGTTCTTCACATTAATCACAAACTATAGAAATGACCCCTGAAAGCAAAGACTAGCAGTCTGTACTTCTAAGGATGTTGCCTGGCTGTGGGAATCAGTCTTCTGTACACTTGGCAAGCTCTATTTCTATGTGACATTTCAGATGATGAAGTTATAAAGGATCCAATCTGGTGAAATACTGGTTTCCTGATTGGTACCCAAACTAGAGAGCTGACAGTGATCTCCCCCTCTCTCCCTATCTCTCTTTCTCACACACACACACCACAAATAATACTGTGCTTATTTGGTTATTTTAGATAGGCACAATGTGAAATCCAGTACAACATGCCTGCTGGCTGGCATATTCCTGGGATATCAGTCATCTGATACATCCTCATTCCAGAAATTTTAGACAGTGGAGTTGGGAAGCAGTGTGTAAGAACTAGTCATGACCTAGTACTTCAGCTATGGAGTCCATCAGGACAGAGATGTGATGTTAGGCAGGTGACATCACTGCTTTCTAACAGCAACCTCTTTCTAACTTTAGAAAGTCCAGAGGAATCACAAGGCCCCGAGAGGGAAGACTGTCCAAGCATATGGCCATTAGGGACAGGGATAGAACGGCAGCCACACACCCCTCCTCATGTGACTCTCATACTTTAACATAGCTTTAAAATTATTACTTTGTTGTGTGTGTGGGGGGGTGGGGGGGTGTTTTGTCTCCATTTATGTATGTGCACCACACATGCCTGCTGACCAGCTTCAGCATCTGGAACTGGAGTTACCCTTGGTTGTGAACCACTGTGTGGGTGCTGGGAACCAAAGCCAGGTCCTCTGGAAGAGCAGTAGGTGCTCTTAACTGCAGAGCTATGTCTTCAGCCCCAGCCCTCTTATTATTTTGGTATTTTTCTTCATATACACTCACCCTAACCTGGCCTGTTGGATCCAAGCTCTTCCCAGCCACCCGGTGTGTGTGTGTGCCTCATGGTGTCTTAGTACTTGCTTGGTGTTTCTGATGTTGATTCTGCAGCCAGATCCAGAATTTCTCCCATTCCCAGCCACACAAGCTTTAGCTCATTTTCCCCCATTATTGAGTGATGG